TTCCTGCCTGTCGGCTCTGCTCATGGATGTATAATAAGGCTCTGCTGCTCCGGGATGAGGGTCTAGCTTCAGCAGCTACATTACCTACGGTGCGTTCGTTAATATTAACTGTGCGGTCTGGAGTCACTGTGGCACAGACTGGACCGCTGGTGAACAGCTGTTAGAACGGGCCGTTCAGGTGTTCAGAGCAGAGCTCCCTGTCGGAGCGGCAGAGCGTGATGTGCACTGAAAAGTTTTTCTGTCACAATATTATTTAAGGAATCGTTGAGCTTGCTAACTAGCATCACATATCTGCTAACGTTAGCTTTAGCCTTCGTTTTCTAATAGTTTTATAAGTATAGATCTTGTACTTGAGTAAAAGTATAAGTTCTCCGATCTTGTACTTGATTAAAAGTATAAGTACTCAGATATTGTACTAGAGTAAAAGTAGAAGTACTCAGGTCTTGTACTTGAGTAAAAGTAGAAGTACCAGAGTGTAGGAATAGCCTACTCTGTTACAGTAAAAGTACTGCATTCAAAATGTTCCTCAAGTAAAAGTAGAAAAGTATTATCATCAAAATATAGTGAAAGTAGCGACAATAAAAGTAGTGATTGTGCAGATTGGTCCATTTCAGAATAATATATATGATATGTTTTATAATGATTGATCATGAAAGTGTTCTCAAAGCTGGTAAAGGTGCAGCTAGTTTGAATGACTTTGTATACTGCAGGGTAGCTTGTGAATTTACTCCAGGTGGAACTAAAGTCTGATTTAACACTTGATTATATTTCACATCATTCATCCACATCTGTAAAGTAACTAAAGGTATTAAATACATGTAGTGGAGGAAAAGTACACCATTTACCTCTGAACTGTAGAGGAGAAGAAGAACAAAGTAGCAAAACATTGAAATACTTAAATAAAGTACAAGTATCTCAAAATTGTACCCAAGTATAGTACTTGAGTTTATGAACTTAGTTACTTTACACCAGTGGCTATAAAGATAGAAAGACTAAGCCTTGCACAGAGGCATGAAAATACATTTTCAAAATGCTCAACAGTGCTGCCAAAATTATAAACTGACTGCTACACAATTAAAATAAATGCTTTTATATATTTCTATTAGATGTGACTCTTTGGCGTTGCTGTTATTATTAACACTGCTGCTTTAGTTGTTCTGACTGCTAAAATCCTGTTGTTCCTCATTTTAAAGCCGATATTCCGTGGGGTTGGGGGGCTCGGATCCTTGTCACCTTTTTCATACCTGATGAGTTTGCATCCCTGGAGTGCAGACGTCGATGTGTCCCATTATCATTCATATCACATCATAAAGTATCATATATCTCTTTATCTGAGTCAGCTTCTTGAGCCGTATCTGGACGTGCAACACTTACAGTGTCACATACTGTATGCAGAAGTATTATTTTAAGCAACACATTAAGTTGACGAAACACTCAAATGTAATTAAAGTCAGATCCACTCGTGTCTTAGACGGGGCAGTGATATCATAAACCTGTTAATGTACGCATTCAAACACTTTTTCTTTTACCCAGCTGTATTCACCTTGCAGGTGCAGCTATGTGGCTTTTATCCTGGTAAAGTGTTTAAGTCATGGATGTTTAAAGTTTAACTTCTTCATATTTGTCTAATATTATAGTTCACTTTTCATTCAGGAAGTATGACGCTGCGCTGTCAGTACGCTTCTCCATGTTTGTGATTGGTCAAATGTTGCTAGCCCCGCCCCTTTCATGTGAACGCGCACATAACTAGATAGGGCACACCGGGCTTGAGTTACCGAGTTGATAACCAGCGTCGTAGGACCGCTTAGCGAGAGCGCGTTTGTTTTGGATTAGGTAAACCGGGTAACTCAAACATATCCAGGGTATGTTGAACTGGATTCGTAGTACAGGCCTCTGTGCTCTAATGTTTGTTAGTTTTCTACAATTTGCTGTTTGTTAGTTGACACCGTTTACACCAAAATGTTATAAATACTGAATAATGAAGGAAGACAAATCTGTGAATCATTATAACTTGGCCCATTTAACAAGTTCATCAGTTTGAAGAGCGAGCAACAGTCCTCCAGAGGCCTGTACTACGAAGCCGGTTCAACATAACCCCGGTTTACCTAATCCAAAACAAAGGCGCTCACGCTAAGCGGTCCTACGACGCAGGTTACCAACTCGTTAACTCAAGCCAGCTTTGCCCTATCTAGTTATGTGCGCGTTCACATGAAATGGGCGGGGTTAGCAACATTTGACCAATCACAAACATGGAGAAGCGTACTGACAGCGCAGCGTCATACTTCCTGAATGAAAAGTGAACTATAATATTAGACAAATATTAAGACGTTAAACTTTAAACATCCATGACTTAAACACTTTATCCAGGATAAAAGCAACATAGTTAATCCTGCAAGTTGAATACAGCTGGTAAAAGAAAAAGTGTTTGAATGCGTACATTAACAGGTTTATGAAATCACTGCCCCGTCCAAGACACGAGTGGATCTGACTTCAATTACATTTGACTCTAGTGTTTCGTCAACTTAATGTGTTGCTTAAAATAATACTTCTGCATACAGTATGTGACACTGTGAGTGTTGCACGGCCAGATACGGCTCAAGAAGCTGACACAGATAAGGAAATATATGATACATTATGATGTGATATTATGTGATATGAATGATAATGGGACACAAATCGACGTCTGCACTCAGTGCCGCAGACTGTACGTAATGTTACTTTGAACCGGTTACTTATGTTAACTTGTGGCAGATATTTAAGTAAGCTTTCTTAACGCTAATGTTATAATAGTCAGATTGCTCTGAAGATGGGAGGTGATATTCTATTAATTTTCACGTTCAGAGTCAGTTGATTTTTGCCGGCCGTCTTTCCTGCAACGGCAGTTTTTCTGTATTTCCTTTCTCCTGTAATATAACTTGATAGCTTTAAACTCCGCACACTGAGCTCTGATTGGTCAGCAGGCGGTGCTTTCACTGAGTTGATCTCTTATCCTGGAATCTAACCTGCTCCGGACCAAGCTAGCCGTTCAGCATAAGTTACCATGGAGATCTAGCCTGCTAAGAAGTGAACCAGCGTCGTAGGACCGGAAACCCAGAGTTTTCCCTGAAGTTAGCTCGCTAAGCGAAAATCCGGCTTCGTAGTACAGGCCTCAGGTTTTCACAATTTGATATTTCATTACAAAAAACACTTTAAATACTTAAGGTTTAAGATTGAATATCATGAAATGACTAGTAAGATAAGTAACTTTTACCGTAAAACAGGCGTATTCATGTTTAAATCAACAACTATTTCAAATGTCAGCCATGCTAACGCCACACCTAATAGCCTTTTGGAGCCTACTTCAGATACTGTATGAGTGACAGTAATAAGGACTGCTCGGAAATGTCAATTGACATTTGGATTAGAATACTCTGAGTTTGATACTAAACCTGGAGTTTGGCCAGGTGAGGTCATCAATCCCTCCCAATCTATTCTGTCCTTTGCATGAGATATGTAAAAGTGGATATATTATTTTTGTTTAAACAACAAGCAATTAAAACCTAAAGGTTGGCAATAAAAAAAACACAAGAAATTATTCAGGAAGATGACTCTTACGATTTTGTGAATACAAATTGTCACTAAATGCTTATTACTCTCAATCCCCAATAAACATTTTTGCATGACTTCAGTTATTTCCATGTAAATTAACAACTTGGCAAACTTCAAACAACACTCCTTTAATATTTGTACACCATCTCAGTCACCTCTGCTACACATATCACATACTGGCCTCTAGTGGACACCTAAAGAAGTGCATGAACTTTATTGTGAACCCAAGGATGTTTGCCATGACCTGCATTTCTGTTTGAGTATAAGTAATGTGCTTTTATTTCGTTTTCATGTTTTCAAGTAGTACACACAAACTGAAATGAGCAAGAAGAGAGAAACGGGAAGATCTGACCTCTGATAAGATTTGCACAGTGGCATGAATAGTTGAATACTATTTAAAACAAAATACAATGTACAATTGAACATAAAAGTGTTTGCTTTTGTATTTACTAAATACACAAGTTGAACCATTTTCTCATGTTCTCAGTGAAAAGCTAATGCAAGCAATATACTATAAATAAGAACTCTGTTGTAATAAGCTTAATTGAAAGTGTGCCATGGTACAGCCAAACATGTTCCAAACAAAAGCTAAATGACAAAATTAATAAACCACCTGTGCTTAAGTCAGTAACACACAAGAGAAAACTATTGAGGTTAGACCTTTTCAGCGCTTTGTTTGAGTGATTTGTGCTTTGGTTTGACCTGCTTTGTGTTTTGGTTTCTTGTTTGTCGAACACCCTTCCTTGCTCCCTCTCTTCCTCAGCTGTCTCCCTTCATGACCATCTTCACTCTCTACCCATATTGCCACAGTTTATTTATGTGCCTCATGTCATTTTCAGTAGCTATTTTTAACTTAACTGTCTGTCAGTTTGTTTTCCTGCCTGAAAGTTGAACACTTACACTTGGTGAATAACTAACTCCCAACCTGTCTCACAGGTTTTACCTTTCTCTACATTATATATCCAAGATTTTGCATTTCCCTTATAAATAAAATACTTATTTTGCAACTTCCTGCCAGTCCTGAATTGGAGTTCTGCATCCAATTGCAATTTAAATTTGTTTTAATAGTAGTGAGATTATGTAAATGAATTTGTTTCCAGCTAATCAAGGCCATACAGCATGGGATTATACACACTGGTGTCACGAAGAGATGACATACTTTAAACTATACATGTACCAAAAAACAAAACAATGATGTAAAGAATCCAGCCTTTCTGAGGGGAATGCTTTGTAGACACACTTGCTGCAGTAATGTGGGTTAACAGGTTAGGGGGCTTAAGCATGTCAGTGCATTTGTTCCAGGCTATTTGCATCAGAGAGATACTGCCAGAACAAAGTCTACTGATAAATTGGCTTCACAGAAAAGCAGATCATTTGCATCTGAGAGATAATACCAGAGGACATGTAGTTTATATTATGCTATTCAGGAAGGATATCCTAGCAGTCAAGAGGTAAGCTGGAAAGTTATTTGTCATTACTGTGGAGAGAGTTCAAGCTGATAGTTGAAAAATCATTGTGTGTTCTGCCTAATTCAATGTGGAGACCGTAGAGAAAAGTATTCTGGTGTTGGGCTTTTCATCACCATCTTCATGTCAACATAGCGTTTTTGTTTCCTGTATCTTTACGTCATATTGTGGGAATGCGATCAACAATATTAATCATCATGTTGCTGAAGTATAACTTGACCCGCTCTTTCTGTGTAATACCAAAGTTTTGGTGGAAAGTAACACAAAGTACATTTACTCAAGTAATGTACCTTAGTAAGCCTACCTGAAATATTTACTTAAGTAGTTTCATGTTCACATTACAGGGACTCTTCTTCTGTCTGTCTACTAAAAACAATGTAACTACAGATTTTAAATGTCTATGTTGAATTGAAGGAGTAAGTGTTTCTTTAGGTTTTGAGAAAATCTTGCTATTTCTTATGTTATATAAACTATTTAAAATGCCTATTTTATAATCTGGAAAATGCGTGGTCCAAAGCTAAAAACAGGACGTTTTTTCCTAATTTTAAAGTGTTAGGATTAGTTTATTTTCAGTTTTATTTTGTAATGTCAAGATCTGTCTTTGTTTCCCGTTTTACTTTGAACGGTGTTCACCCCCTGTCTCATGTCTGCCTTTGCTTCCTGTCTGTGGTTTCCCTCCTGTCTGATTCTGATTGTGTTCGCCTGTTGCCCCTGTGTTTCACCTCCCCTCTCCAGCTTTGTCTTGTCTTGTGATTACCCTTGTGTATTTAGTCTTGCTTGCCCTTGTGTCCCTTGCCAGTTTGTTGTCGTTGGTGGTTTGGTTCCTGTTCCTGGTGTTCTGGATTTCCCTGTTCTGCCCTCCTCTGAGGCCTGTACTACGTAGCCGGATTTTCACTTAGCGAGCTAACTTCAGGGTAAACTCTGGGTTTCCGGTCCTACGACGCTGGTTCTCTTCTTAGCGGGCTCTCCATGGTAACTTATGCTGAATGGCTAACCAGGGGGGTATACTACGAATCTAGTTCAACATATCCTGGATATGTTTTGAGTTATCCGGTTGACTTAATCCAAAAAAAAATGCTCTCGCTAAACTGTCCTACGACGCTGGCTATCAACTCGATCGCAAGCCAGCCGTGTCCTATCTAGTTAGGTGCGCATTCACATAAAATGGGTGGTATCTGGAGCATTCGACCAATCACAAACATGGAGAAGCGTTCTGACAGCGCAGCGTCATACTTCCTGAATGAAAAGTCAACTATAATATTAGTCAAATATGAAGAAGTTAAACTTTAAACATCCATGACTTAAACACTTTATCCAGGATAAAAGCCACATAGCTGCACCTGCAGGGTGAATACAGCTGGTAAAAGAAAAAGTGTTTGAATGCGTACATTAACAGGTTTATGATATGCCCCGTCTAAGACACGAGTGGATCTGACTTTAATTACATTTGACTCGAGTGTTTCGTCAACTTAATATTCTATTCATTTTCACGTTCAGTCGGTGATTTTGGCTGGCCGTCTTTCCTGCAACGGCAGTTTAAACTGTATTTCCTCCGCACACTGAGCTCTGATTGGTCAGCAGGCGGTGCTTTCACTGAGTTGATCTCTTATCCTGGAACCTATCCTGCTTCGGAGCAGACTAGGTTCCAGGATAAGTTACCGTGGAGATCTAGCCCGCTAAAAAGTGAACCAGCTTCGTAGGCCCGGAAACCCCTGAAGTTAGCTTGCTAAACGAAAATCCTGCTTCGTAGTATAGGCCCCTGCTCCGGAGCAAGTTTGGTTCCAGGATAAGAGATCAACTCAGTGAAAGCACCGCCTGCTGACCAATCAGAGCTCAGTGTGCGGAGTTTAAAGCTATCAAGTCATATTACAGGATAAAGGAAATACAGAAAAACTGCCGTTGCAGGAAAGACGGCCGGCAAAAATCTACTGACTGTGTAAACGTGAAAATTAATTGAATATCTCCTCCCATCTTCAGAGCAATCTGACTAATATAACATTAGCGTTAAGAAAGCTTACTTAAATATCTGCCACAAGTTAACATAAGTAACCGGATCAAAGTAACATTACGTACAGTCCGCGGCACTGTGAGTGCAGACGTCGATGTGTCCCATTATCATTCATATCATATCACATCATAATTTATCATATATTTCCTTATCTGAGTCAGCTTATTGAGCCGTATCTGGCCGTGCAACACTCATAGTGTCACATACTGTATGCAGAAGTATTATTTTAAGCAACACATTAAGTTGACGAAACACTCGAGTCAAATGTAATTAAAGTCAGATCCACTCGTGTCTTAGACGGGGCAGTGATATCATAAACCTGTTAATGTACGCATTCAAACACTTTTTCTTTTACCAGCTGTATTCACCTTGCAGGTGCAACTATGTGGCTTTTATCCTGGATAAAGTGTTTAAGTCATGGATGTTTAAAGTTTAACTTCTTCATATTTGTCTAATATTATAGTTTACTTTTCATTCAGGAAGTATGACGCTGCGCTGCAGGACGCTTGTCCATGTTTGTGATTGGTCAAATGTTGCTAGCCCCGCCCCTTTCATGTGAACACGCACTCAGCCGGACGGAGAAACCCTGGCTTGAGTTACCGAGTTGATAACCAGCATCGTAGGACAGTTTAGCGAGAGCGCGTTTGTTTTGGATTAGGTAGGCCGGGTAACTCAAACATATCCAGGGTATGTTGAACCGGCTTCGTAGTACAGGCCTCTGGTCCCGGTTTGTTTGTTTGTTTGTTTCTCTTTTGTTCCCCCTTGCCTGCTCCTGTTGTTTTTTTGTATTGCAACAGCTTTTTATTTTATTAAAAGCTCGCTTTAATTTACATCCCCTTACCTGCCTTCTTATTTATACTGCTTTTGGGTCCGCAACCTGGCCAAACCTGACAGTAAGAATATAATGAATTACTGTAAATGTACCTACCCATAAATATATACAGGTGTTTAAATGAGGATAACAAGTAAAACACTGACAGTAATAATACTGATAATACTTTTACAGATTGAGGATTTTGAATGCAGGATCTTTACTTGTAGTAGTACGTTTACTAAAAAGTCCTTACAACACTGTTTTTAAACTAAAACATATTATTTTGTTGAAAGCAAGGCCCATGCCACCAAACATCCAACTCTACATCATCCGGCTGAAGCTATTTGAATCATGAAGAAAACAACAGACACCCTCTGGAATACCATGTGTCTGCTACTGGTCATTGGTTTCATCTGGTGCCTGAGTTTGCCATATTTCATGCTGGTGTGTATCTTTACTCATTCATTCATTCATTCATTCATTGACCTCACATATCAAATGTCAGTTTAATCATTGTCCGAACCCTAACCCTAACCCATGTACCAGCATGATCTATCTTATATTCGATTGATTATTAGATGTTTTCTTACCAATTTCCCTATAATATGTTCTCTCTAAACTTCTTTTAGAGCAATGCTGACCAGGACATCTTCAGCGTGGCCACTATCAACAGACTTGGGCGGGATGGCAATGTGGGGGAGGGAACAGGCAGGCCTGAAGGTGAGGAGAGAGCAAAGAGATAATGATAGGAGTTAAGCTTGGAAAAAGAAAACTGGGGTCGTGATGGAGCAGCAGAACATAACATAGAAAAATAGATGCGGGGTAAAGATTTTATTGGTGATCTCAGCGAGTGTCACACTCACTCTTCCTCACATAGCCTTTAAACAGTGGAGCACATTTGGTAAAATGAATGTAGAGTAGTGAATAAAGGATGATTATGCCTCATTCTTTTTAATTGTAGAGGATGAACGGAGACATTGAGGACATGTGATTTAGCCACAGTAGCCGGAAAAAGTACATTCATATTTGAGCAATTCATAATAAGGGTGCAGGATGTAAAATGGAGGGCGACAATAAGATAAAACGGGTTCAGAATGATCTTTTTCCTCCTGGCTTATGACTGCTCCATATATCTCTTAATTTCCCCCGACTTTTCTGTTCAACTCTGTCCTTCAATCTCCTTTTTTGTAATATTGTACTCCTCTAGAAAAAATGAAGAGAATTATCAAAATCGTCAATGATCTCCTGAACATCGCAGAATCCTCTGACAATCGTGAGCAAACTCTCCATACAAGACTTATTTTTTCTGCCATGTTTCCTTGGTGATAATTGCCTAATGAATATTCTATATGTAATTATAATAAAGTATGGCTTTCACAGCTCTATTCAGATGCAACCTCTTGAAAATATGTTCAAAGTAGATGGATGGCTACTCTAATTCACAGCACAATCTCTCTCTCAGCTCATGGCCCATCTGCCTTGAAGGACTACAAAGAAGAATTACAGTCAGTCCAGATTCACATGGAGGCAGAAAAAGTGAAAGGACAACTGAAGGATGAAATGATTAAGGAAATGCATTTGAATAAAATACAACTGCAGCGACACATGGCTCACATGGAGGAACTCCTAAAGCTACAATTAGAGAAGGAGGAGAAGAAAATCCAACAGTTAAAATCTGGTAAGATCACAAATTAAGATGCCCAGGTTTACAAGCCAAAACTCTACAATACCAATACAGTTTATATAATCGTAAGGAATAAAAATCAGTATACAAATGTGTAATGATCATATCACAAATGTGTAATGTAATATATAACTTGAACTAACAGCTTGGCACTGCATTTTTTTGGCAATGTATAAAATGTGCTGTAACGTAGGGACTATTTTCAGCAGTGGATTTAGACGCACACAGCACACATAGGTGCTCTTGTGTTTTTCCAGTAGTAAGACCGTCAAAAATAACAGTGCAAGTGTTTTTCAGAAAGCCTTATGTTGACCGTAGTATCCCTGTGGCCAAGGTGTGCAAGCCAAAAGTGACATCATCAGGTTCTTTGCGTAACGAAGGCTCTGCAATTTGTAGAAGCCACAAATAGACTACTAATATAAGCGTATAGCTCAAATTAAAAAGTATAATAATGGATTTATTTTCAATATTAACAATGTCAAATTGAACTTGTTTCCAGCATATTCAACCATCCTTTGTTTAATTATAAGATTGTAGTTGTTTAAATACTTTAATACTCCACTGCTTTCTCTACAGGAATTGTATAAAGGGTATCCTAGAAAGGACTTGGAATTCATTCGTCCTCGGCATTAAGGGGATCACGTTAAGATTCATTGACTTCTTCACTGAATCATTAGTTTGTATGCCCTTTCGCGATTCGGAGGATACTTAAAGGGGACCTATCATGCAAAATGCACTTTTGTACGTCTTTAATACATGAATATGTGTCCCCGATGTTCCAGGGAACTCACCAAGTGTCAGAAAACACAACCCTCTCTATTTTCCTCCATACCCAAATCTCTAAAAACGGGGCTGCAACGGATCTGATACAGACTGATCCAGATTTGAACATTTCTCTGACGTCAGGACGGAGGAGCTGACCTATCAGGGGAATGAGAGGTTGCTGTGGCATGGTAACAGCATGGTAACACGACGCTCGTAACTCGGCCCCCTCCTTTGCAGCGCATGCAAAGACAGGGTGGAGGAGAGCAAAATAGAGCGAAATGAGGCATGGCTAAAATGCATGATCTGTTTGGTATTTTGAAAAAGAAAACGTATAAATATACCTTATATAGGTATGGCCCTACAATATATTATTCAAATATAGCATGATAGGTCCACTTTAAACAAACGACTTGTTAAACATACAAGCATTTGTACATGCTCGTAACTCGCAAAACATCTTGCAGGGCTGCCCAACAGCGCATTGTTTGTTTGTATAAACCAGGCTCAAAGAAAAACATGTCACACAGTGGCGTAGCTCCCATGTGGGTTTTTAGAAAACAATGTTGCTCACTGCAGAGACATTAATACAAAGACAATACTGGTCATATGGATAAGATATTGTCAATTTAGTTATTTTCATGGATTATTTACTGCCAATCAAATACACAATTTTGTCACACTTCTGATTTGATATCATACAATTATTTTATAAAAAATGCATGTTCCTATTCCTATTGATATTTGCTAAGGCTGGCGTCACACTGTCCCGAAATTGACACCAGATGGACACACGAATATGGAATTGTGAATTTCGCACGAAGATGGCCCTGAACTTGGTCAACAGCTAAGCAACATCCGAAGCAAGTACGATGCCTACAGAAGGCCACATGATGGCACCCGAACCACACACGAAGGCAACACGGAGATGTGAATTTGTATAGTAGTTTATACCCGCAGGACACACAAAGGCTACACGACATCGTAATGAGAGTACGATGCGTTCGAACTAGGTCACGAAGGTGTCACGTGACCGATTATCACACGAAGTAAAGACGAAGATGACACGATTTGACAAGATGCCCTCACGATGGCCTTACGAAGGGCAAAATGGACACACAAATTCAATACGAAAATGAACCTTCGCAAGGTATTCCAGCAATTCTTTGGCATGCCAAAGATTTTGCCACCGCTCACGAAGTTGCTGCCGGAGCCTGAGAAACTCCACCGGCGGTCATACGATGGCTTAAGATGCCCTCACGAATGGCCCGATGTTGTTACGATCAGAGCCGAATTTCCTTTATCGTGTGTCCATCTGGTGTAAATTTCGGGACAGTGTGACGCGGGCTTTACTGAATATTCTACTAGTAATACTTGTAAAGTATGGCTGGTTGCTTACACAGATCTTTTCAGATGCTAGCCTCTTGAAAATATAAGGGATCATTTCTCAAATTAACACTTCTATCTCTATTTCAGTCCCTCCCCCGCCTCCTTTAAAGGACTGCAAAGCAGAAATGCAGTTATTCAAATTTCAAATTGAGTCTGAAAAAGAGAAAGGAAAACTGAAAGATGAGATGATTAAGGATCTGCGTGCGGATAAGCTCCGACTGCAACTGGCACACATGGAGAAAGCCCCGCCTCTAATGGAAAAGAAGGAGGAGATGGTGGAGAAAGTTCAACCATTGAAACCTGGTAAATGTACTCTTTATTGAAAGTAGAATGGCAACTGTATTCCCACAATGCCTTATTTTAACATGCATACATTCTAACGTAAAATGCATGAATAATGTTAAGGACAAAAACCTTGTTTAGCATTGACTAAAAAAACAATATGCATTAAGGATAATGTTTTTTCTCTTATTTGATCTTTCTCATTATGAGGCCACACCTCAGGCCATTATAATTATTATAATGTATTATTCTTATACATTTTCTCTTTGTGCTTTTATTTAAGGAATTATGTATGTTATGTATGCTGAGATATACAAAGATATCTTGCTACATGATTGTATTAAGGTTATTTTTAACTAGTCTGCACAAATTTGCGGGTGTATGTTGTATGTATGTTATGTCTGAATGTTTTTAAAAAAGGACAATAAAAATAGTATTCAAAACAAAAATAAATATGTGAAGGAGCGGAAAGTTCCCACCTGCAAATACTCAAGAATGTGAACGAACATCGTAGCCTCTAACAAAGTGGAAGAATTTGCTCACCGTTTCACAATGTAGCTTCAGGGGGATTGAGCACAATGGAGAGGAACGCAATCTCCACATACACTACAAGGCTCAGTCTTTAGCAATCATCCAATGAGAACTTGTTAAACCACTGTGCGTAGTTGGTGGAAATTTGAAGGTTGTCTTATTTACCATTGCCTTGAATTTAATGAAGACATTCTATAATGACATCACCAATTGGAATGATAGAAATTAAGGAATAAACTAACAGATGTAAAATAACACATTTTAATCAATAGAGCATCTCTGAAAAAACAAATATGCTGTTTTTTGTTTGAAGAGGAAACAAACTGCCCTCTACCACCTATGGATAACCACCCAGAATGTATGGGGAAATTGAAGGTAACTGATTTTCTTTCTTCTCGTCAACATATTTTTCATACAAACTCCTAACAATATATTATCACTTAAAACAAGTCATTTTCTCCACACATATTGAATGATGCAAATACGCATACATGGAAGATACACAACATTGCTAATTGTTGTGTTTGACTTGATGCATGTTGTGTTGATTGTGTTTTCAGTGGCTGAGTAAGATGTGGGAGAGTCAACCTTGCTACGCGGGTTACGGGGTCAACGGATCTGTGTGCTCCTTCGTTATCTACCTCAGTGAGGTACCAAAGTAGTTTAAAGCTCTTATATCGCACAGTAACACTACATTTTGTAATTGCAAAAAGAAGAAAAAGTGTATTGTTGGTGCTGACAAAACCTCTTTTTGTTTGTGCTGCGTTTAGGTAGAGAAGTGGTGTCCTGTACTTCCATGCCGAGTACCTCTATCTAAAAAAGCAGAGGTAAAGGTGTGTGTGTGTGTGTGTGTGTGTGTGTGTGTGTGTGTGTGTGTGTGTGTGTGTGTGTGTGTGTGTGTGTGTGTGTGTGTGTGTGTGTGTTACCACTTCAGGAGGCTCCCTGGTAGCCAGATTATGGATGGCCTTTCCAAGGATGCACAGGGAGGAGAGGACGAACACCACCCCGAGGACCACACATGCTCTGCAGACAGACAGAGAGAAGAGTTTAGGAGAGTCAGCTTTAGTGACTATCATGTCTTTGGTAAACTTGCCAATTGGCAAGTTACATACAGTTGAACCAAAGCAATAACACGAAGACTCGAGAGCAGTCAAACTGTCTTCAATTTCTTTAACAATTTATATTCCTTAAATCCCAGCCAGTGTATCCAAAAAGACCCCCATCACCCCAACAACAAACTGTCCTGGGTGCTGCCGACTGGCAGGCGGTACTGCAGCATCAGGACAAAGACCAGACAGTTTATCCCACAGGCCACAAGACTATTTAATGCCTGAGCTCTGTTTAGTGCCTCCATAACCTAAAGCATTCATCTGTTTGCATCTTACAATTTATTTATCAAAATAGTTATCACTACACTGTAAAACATCACAGCCCCATTTAGTTATGTCAAGTTATATTGTCTCTTTAATTGAAAGAGCTCTGACAAGTCTTTGATTTTGAAATCAGCTTTTTCAACGGGTTTCAAAGGGTTTATGAATAGTTTGTAATTCATCTATTAATTAGGTTGTGAACACTTTATAAATCATTAATAAGCTTAATAAGCAAACCCCACATGTATCTGTACTGCTAAGCCTTATATTGGCTACCTAGCTTACTTAGTCTTCTTCATCAGCCAGCATCCTTGGTATCTGTTGCTCACTGAGTTGATTCTCGCTAAGTAGCCAATATAAGGCTTAGTAATCTTGCCAAATAGTGAGCCTGTGTTGATGTATGAAAACTATGTTAGAACTGGTTTATAAATGGTTCTTAATGATTAAGAAAGTGTTTACAACCTAATTCATAACCTACTTATAAACCCTTTATTAATCCTTTATAAGGGTAGTCTTATTGTAAAGTGGTACCAAGTATTCTAATAGTGTGAAAATCAAACAGCTTTTATTAATATACCTGTTGTTGTTCTGGATGCTAAAAACCTCAAAGACACTGGATATTTGCTTAAAATGTTGTATTACTACATTTCATTAATTGATGGAAAACAAGCCATGGATGTTAGTTTCACATCTGTCGTTGAGTGTCTGTGTGTAACATTCCGTATTGATGATATGATATGACATGTTGGTTATATTTCCACTTTCAACTAGATAAGGGAGATTTTTCAGCCAAGTTAGAAACCATATTTGCACAATGAGGTCACTTGATGTTGCCTTTTCTTTACATTTTTAAAAATCTTTGTTATGTGAAAGACCAAAACAATATACATTATAAAGAAATAATTTATGGAATCAGATCATTTTTTTAAATAGCGGATCAAGATCCTTTCACTTCGCGTCGGGCTTCATGATCACCCTGTTGGGTGTTCTTTTTTCATTAATGACTGCCTCGTTGCACATTATCCCTTACATATTCACATGTATTATTATATTTGCAGGTTTTAAAGGTCTAGATGCGTTAATTATAAAGTGCACTATATAATTATATAACTATAAAAGCTTAATTGTGTTGAACCATTTAATGGAAATGTACATGATCAATGCATCTGGAGACTTTTCCTCATGACAGAGGCCATTGAGTCCACTTTGAGAATCACTGCTTTCAGTGGCATTCATGGTCCAAATGTAACTACGTGCTGATCAAGATGTGATATAATTGACACAAATATGAGTGTATTATTGAGAATTCTGACATTCTGACTGAGGAGATTCGGTTGTCCAACTTGAATCTACAAAAAAGTCAATAATAGAGAATAAGCCTTGTGGTTTCTTCTTTTTTCTAGGCGGGATCTGACTACGCAGTGGTACGCGAAAATCTTACAGATCTGTATCCATCTCTGGAAAAGAGATCCCAGTTTCGTTGGATTGAGCAAAGAATTCGCAGTATGGAAAGGGTTTGGGTCGAGGCTGGGCGCTCTCTTTCAGCCAAATATGACCTGAAGGAGAGGAAAGCTAAACAGGTAATGCAAACAATTGTTTTTTTGACATTTCGAAAAACCTTGCCCCATTAGTTACTGTTGCCTTGCCTACTTTTGAACACATGTAGTCTTTAATTATGAGGGGACATCATTTCCACCCAAATTACAGTAACTTTTTAAACAAAGGCCACTCTCCATTTCTCTTTCTGTGACATATACATGTAATAGACCTTTTAACTTTCTTGTTAGAGGATGCTTTTAGAAACAGACGCTCCCTTCCTCATTGAACAGGTTTGCCATCCCAGTGACCTAATTCTTTCCTCAACTCAACTAGAAAAGCCTTCTATTATAAAAAGAATAGTACTTAATGTTGTTTATGCATGAATTGAGCCATAACATAAAGGCCACTCCAACCTTAAAAGTCTAAAAACATTTGAAATAATACAATGACCATGTTACTGAAATTTTACTTTCAACACACTGGGTAACACTGGACTATTTTTGCCACAATACGGTCTCGTACCCCTTTTCCACTGAAATTAGTTTTCTTCTAGTTCCCTGCTGGGGCTAGTTTGATTTGCAGTTGGTTCAACTTGCAAACCACTTAAGAACCAGTTTGCTTTTCCACAAACAAGAGCCCAAAAGGGGCCAAACATGACGTCACCGTTTGCGTTGCTACAATGCTAATTGTTTATATCACTCACAATTACAACAATGGCAGTCTAAGGTGGTGATGTGTTCATGTTACTATTAAACGTACGAAGCCAGAATTGAATTGCAAGCATGACTTTAATCTCTTCTTGAGAGTGACGTGGCAAATGGTATGCCACAATGGAATAGTGCCATTGGCTAACTCAAGACCGTATTCATGACGGGGGGTGTGGGCAGGTGGTGGACCTAACCTCCTCTAGGGGGGTCCGGGGAGCAATGTTGAAGTTAAATGCATCAATCTGGTGCACTTTGAGAGAAAAATTAGGGACTAAATCTATGGATACATCTCTCAAAACCATATGAAACAGAACTGAACAGATTTACTTTTTCTTTATGCATATTTTACAAATCACTCCCCTTTTAAACTGTAGTATGAGTTGGAATTATTTCATACCTGTTATTCTCTTATTTTGTATAACTATAATGATCATATAAAGGTGTGCCTTGGAAATACTTGTTTTGCATCAATCTTGATAGATGGTACTTATTTTATAGTTTGGATTCCTAAAGCTTGTAGTCTTCTATCCCATCATTCAAGGGAGGTTTTCACTATAAGTAATGGTTTATTTTTTGGACGGACACTATAATTTATGTTCAATCTGAATTTACTTTAAAAACATCTATATTGATTCTGACTTTTTCTACATCGAACTCACAGGTTTATCATTGCTTTGAGAAAAAAGATTATTAATTGACCCATTTTAGAAGTGAAAATATAGTCAATTGTTCTGGGAATGTCATTTTCGAGCCTGAGACCTGAAAAACAGGCTTGGGGCTTAACTGGTTAAAACGTTTTACCATAATGTCTAATTGTGCATTGTATTACATCGCCCTATTTGATCTAGTTTAGCTTTTCTTGTTTCGTTGTTTGTAATGGCAGAGATTAGGGATGAATAAAGTACAACTATAACCATAATCATATTAAAGCATTTCAATCCATAGAAAGGTCTGTGCCACGCAATCTCAGTAGAAACAGGAACACTTTATTGCCCTTTTGTTTTATTGAAATACTATTTCATAATAATTGTAGAGTATTTATTTAATTAATTCTGGCACCTTTGGTATTCCATAGCAGTCACACATCACCGTTTTAAATCTTTCCACACAAAATAAAATAGAAATAATCCACATGAATAAATATGTATTGGATTACATCCAAAACGACACTGTCATTTTCCACATAGCTGACACTAGCCCGCCAAACCCTGGCTAGCAACTGAAACCAGCTAGCCCACAGCTAGTTAGCTACTATTGCTGAAAAGTTCGGTTTTAACATCAGAACTACAAGTTACTTACACAAAGAAGCTAAACCGGAGGGTTCATTAACATTACCATTACGAAATAAAATAATATAGATTACTTTAGGGCTAACTAGAAAAGATACCAGAACTGATGGAGGGCAAATTAAAACATGACTGACCTGCTTGGAGCATCAAGCTAACTGAAGTTGGACTCAGACGTGCAACAGCGAAATACACCCCCGGGTACAAAATAAAGGTATGCATAAACAAACAAGGCAGAACCAATTTACATATGAAAAGAATATATCATTTTGGTGAAGTTCACAATAACAGAAAATAAAGTATACAAATAGCCAAAATTAAAAAGTCATAGAATAGCAATTTTATTTTAATAAAAAAAAAAAAAAATGTTTTTGTTATTTTTGCTATTTATTGGGGGGGACATTTTGAGTGTATCTGAATATTGGAAATATGGTGAATTCGGCCCTGGGCTAACCACCACAGTGGTGTGATGCTCGTGCTCCAACCGCTCATAACCATCGCCTAACGCCAGCTGCGACTTTAAAGTACTTATTCTCTGTATGACTGTCTAACCCTAACACCAGTAACTTCCCCTTGTGCCTATTACGCCATGAAACCATTTTTGTTTTACTTAATAGACAATGTTTGACAACCCAGCACCATGAATAAAGGATTCTTAAATATAAAGACTTGAATGATGTTAGCATTATGTTAACATGATATTAGTTTCCATTCTGACTATAAATACCAAGATTTAGAGACAAAAAACTAAATGGTTCTTGCATTATTTACCTTCTTAATCTATCATTAAGAAGGGGCATTTGTTACCACAATGATAGAAAAGGGGTTGTAAGGTGAATGATAACTCAATATTGCAACCTGTTTAGATACAGTATATTTTTGTATTGATATTAGAATGGTATCAGATCAAACAATTATTTTGGTTTGAGTTTTGATGAATTCTGGCAAAAAATGTATGAAACAAAAGAGAGAGAGGATATTCTATTGCATGTTGTCCATGGAATTCTAACTTTGATCTAGATTCTGGTGCATCCTGGAGTGGTGACAGCTGAATCTAAAGCTAAGATAGCAGAGACTGCCTTCAATGGGGGCCCCCTTGGGGAACTGGTCCAGTGGAGTGACCTCATCTCCACACTTCACATCCTGGGACACCATGTTTACCTAACTGCCTCCTTACCTGACCTCCGGCAGTGAGTGTGCACACAAAAATAGCCTTATTTTGCACTACGTTTAATAATAATGCCTCTAACAATGCTCATGTTTATCTCTCTGTCCAGTTACTTTGCGGTGGACACAGGTGGCTGCCCACCTTTTCATTCAAATCCGAATCTGATCTACACAGACATTATCGGCCTTAGGCAGATCAAGAGTGTACTAAAGGGATCTTGGTTAAAATACAGGTGAGTATCAGGATCCCAGTTCCTGATTATTGTTACGGACGTGTGAGTTACATGTGCGGCACATATGTGTGTAATGTGTCTATGATAGGTAATTTTAACATTAAAATGCTGAAACACTTAGAAGGAAGGATCTTGATAACTCATGCAGTAATGACTTATAAAAGTGTAGGCCTACTCTATGTGATTAAATACAATACTAGTTTACAATATGTTGCGAACAAACATGGGCGTTATGGAACATTAGTCGAAAAAGGAGTCATTTACAAATAATGTTTTGGTCATTTTGTGTGCATTTGGAAGTAATTTAAAGCCAGTTCCTTTGCCCAAGTCAGACAAATAAAGATGAGTTCAGGAGAACAATATAAATATTTTATTTAGTGGAGAAGTGGTCAAGTATGAGACGATTGGCGATTATCCTTGCACAGAGGCTATGGAATGTATATCAACTCAGGATTTTTGGGAAAAGAGTGTTTGAGTCGTGTGCGTTGGAGATAGTCGTGATACAGTAGGGGGAGGAGGGGGAGAAAGGAATTATGACAAATACTGAAGCACATTAAAGGTAGTAAGTTTGAGAAACCGGCTCGAGATCGCTAGAATTTGAAAATACACAACCGGAGAAAATCTGCCACTTCCTTACAGAGCCCCTCCTCCAACACACACGAACGTGCACATGACCAATGAGGGCACGAGATAAGTTTGTGCACAGATGGAAGGCTGACAGGCAGGTAGGCCATCCAGTTATTTTAGCCGGGCCGACGATGTGTGGATAGGGGCAGTTGATCACCCATATGCACATTTTAAGTCAGACTTATCTGTAGAGACAGAGATAAATGCTTTGTGCTGTTAAATATACATTTACTGTGCGATTATTGCGCTTGTGAATGTAACCGTGTACCTGTGTCTGTTCTTCAGGTGCATTATACGGGTGTTGGATACTTTCGGCACTGAGCCAGACTTCAATCATATATCTTGGGCCAATAAGCACAAGCTTGCAAGTCCATTTGGCAGACTGAACATGATCCCACTGCAGTTCTACACCATGTTCCGTATGTATCTGCTTCATTTCCAACAGCTATTTTACACATGTTGCTTGAGGAACAGATATGCGTATTCTTTCAGTCTCTATCCGAATAAATGTGTCTTCTCCTCCTGTGAGCAGCTCATACACCGGACAACACATTCCTGGGTTTTGTGGTGCAGAACCAGCTGATGTCGGAACAAAGTGAGCTGTTTAAGTCTAACAAAAGACAAAACCAGGCACTTGTATACGGAAAGAGAGCCGAGTTTTGGGAGGTAACAATGCGCAAAAAAACTAACATTGGAACAACCTATTTTTTTTTTTAAAAGGCCAGAAAATATTTAAGGGAACCAACAGAGGTTGAGGACATACACATATCTTTACTGTAGTTAAGTTATACAACAATGTAGGAATACTCGGTTATGTCAAAGTTTGGCATTGGTACATTTCACTTAAGTAAAAGTACAAAAGTATTTCCATCAAATTATACCTAACTACCAAATCTGAAAGTTCTCATTATGCTGAATGTCAATTTTTGGAATACTATGTATGACATCACTGGATTATAATAGTGATCTTTTAATGTGAACATATTTTTCAGTTTGCAGCTGGTTAAGGTGGAGCTTATTTTAGTGATTTATTTTTTATTTAAATTTAATTTTATGTTATTTTCTGTTTCTTAATCCATAATAGTGTATTCATTAGTCAAAGTAACTAGTAACGAGTACAAAGTACAATACTTTCTTCCAATTTGTAGTGGAGTAGAAGTATGAGGAAGCATGAATTGGAGAAAAGTACAAGTAGTACTTTAATGAACTTAGTTACTTCCCACTAATGAGCACCAATATTGTTAAGATGGTGTGTATTTAGTAGTCTGTTGGCTCTGTCTTTTATTCATTCAACCCCCATCGAAAAGGGGCATGTGTATTTTGTGACACACCCGCTTCTTTATCCAGCAAGTCACCCTTTGCTTTTTCTGCTGTCACACTGCAGGGTAAAACGGCATATCTGGATGTCATCCACAAGTACTTAGAGATCCATGGGACAGTTAACAACAGAAAAGCTCTTCCAAATTATGTGAAAAACCATGGCATTGTGAAAGGCACTGATGTTCAGGCCCTGTTGAGACAGAGCAAGGTGAGTGTGTCTCCTCTAAGTTTTTGTTGACTTTGGCTTTACTTCGTCCTCACACTGCTGCAATAACAAGGGCTGTCAACGTTAACGCATTAACACTTGTGATTGGTCTGGAAACCTTAACTTTCTTGTAAAATAAATAAACAAAAATTAGTCACATAATCACGTTTTGACCGTAATTTCAGCGCTGTAGGAACGGATATTGTACCTAGTGCTCTCAACATGATAGCAGCAGTAGAATAATACCATAGGAGCCTATGCCTTGTGTTGTGCACATTATACAGAGGGGAATCACAGCGACTCAACGTGACAGCAGGTTTGACAATGCTTTGCCTAATAATCGAGAAAGTATCCAAACTAAGGTGAGATATTATAATGAACTGAAAAAACCCATGTCATGATTTCATGCATTTCTTTATTACAACACCTAACTTGTATTTGTTTTATCTCCCCCAAAATTCAATTAAACACAAGTATTTTAAACCTGTGATGATTAACCAGAGATTATTGTGATTAATACAATACATTTTTTGAATGGATTGACACAACTAGTAACAACAATAATACATATGTTGTCTCTTCTACATTAGTGTATATTACATTACATACACACTATTTCATGTCTTAATTTGACACAAAGAAGAATGTGATGGACGCAGTTTTTCCAATTACTTTGACCTTTTGCATTGAACATATTTTGAACTGGCAAAAGTTTTATTTGAGTGTGGTTCTACCTTTATATATAAAGTCTATGGGTCCTACACAGCATTCGTTTGTGATGACGACCCTCCCTGTGCGGCACACTGGAGCTGAATGTATCTGTTTTTGTTCCGATGTAGGCGGGCACCGTGTGGCGACAGTAAAGCAGTGCATGTGGTAACCATATAACTGTTGGTGTGTTGGAAATAAAGTTAAGGAAATACTAATCTGTTTGTATCTGTTGTAGGTTTTTGTTGGATTGTCTTTCCCATATGAAGGCCCCGCCCCATTGGAGGCGTTAGCCAATGGCTGTGCTTTCCTGAACCCCAAGTTAAACCCTCCGCAGAGCAGTCTGAACACCAAGTTCTTCAAGGGAAAGCCCAACATCAGAGAGGTCAGCACTCATTTTAAACTGAATCACTTACCATGGTCTGACAAACAAGTTAAACACCTGTAGATTCTACGGAAGCCCTGAGAGGCAAGTGATCTGGTGATTTATATCTGTTCTTAATGGTTTTCCCAACTGTTATTATGTCTAAAGAGTAGGTGAAACATTTTCTTGCCACGGTAATCTTTCTAAGCCCCCCTTTTTCATCTGCAAAACTGGTTTGAAGAAAGTCATTTTTTTCTATGCAGCTTCATTTTTTCTAAATGTATTACTGTGAATCTGCAATGAGAACTCAAAACGATCGAGCACAACCATAAAGGATATTTTTTAAAGTTCCTTTTTCCTTCCCCATCTTTGAAAACAGGTGAAGAAAAAGTCACATTTTGTCTGCTCATTTTGTTGTTATTGTAATGCTAACTTCTGCCACAAACTTCCAGCAATCTTATTCAACCTCCAAACAATGAACAAGCAAATAATGACCTAGTTGATTTAACAGGGAGATTAATTTAATATCCTTACTTAATAAACCATGTATGTTTTCATGGTGATATTCTATATTGTTCAGTTTCACTGTAATATGTTTGTGTTGCAGATAATATCCCAGCATCCTTATGCTGAGGCCATAGGAGAGCCCTACGTATGGACGGTGGACATGAACAACTCAATAGAAGTGGAAAGAGCTCTTAATGCTATTCTCAATCAGACGGTAGGAACCTTCTATATAGTGTAAAATCTACCTATTTCTCAAAATCGACAGTGCATTTATGGAAGCTCATGTTTCTTTAATTGTTTGTTACATTTCAGATTGAGCCCTATCTTCCCTATGAGTTTTCGTGTGAAGGGATGCTCCAGAGGGTCAACGTCCTGATAGAAAAACAGGTTGGAGGAATGTTGGTTTAGGAGATGGAAAATAGATCAGATTATTAATAATTAGAGAAAGAATTTACCTTCTCATTATGTTCACATTTTTAACTCAGGATTTGTGCAGCAGTGCAGTGAGCTGGCCCCCACTGAGCGCACTCCAGGTTGTAAAGGCGCAGATGTCCTGTAAAACTGCCTGCCAGAAGGCGGGGCTGATCTGTGAACCGGCATTTTTCCCACACCTTAACAATGCAAATAGTCTTGCAAAGTAAGTATTCAGTTCACGTCACTTTGCATACACATGAATGCGATTTGGTTGGTATCAACTCTGTAGTCATGTGTCTTCATAGTATCGTTGGAGAGCTGTCTCCATTTTATTGGATACAGAAAAGAAAGTTCACATAAGTTTATAAAACTATAAACATATAATTTAAATTGGAAATGGTTAATTGGAATAAGAAAAGGATAACGCTATCATGATATGTTCAAATGTTAATCTAGTTTTCGCCAAGAATAAATCATTTCTTTGAATGAGAGGTTTTCACAACAGTAATATAACAAAAAACAGTATGAAATAAAGAAGTGTATGTTGAAGCATATCATATTTTTTGATTTGGTATAGAAAATTGTGGAATTTTACTGGTTGATTACAGCCAACTCAATTTCTGGTATTGTGACACCCCTGTCTCGAGTAGAGTCTTTTAGAGGTCCCCATTGGTAGGGTTTACAGAACCAAACCCAGTATTGGTCTAAATCCAGACAACTCATACCAAAATGAACATACTTTGAATAATTTGTGGCTCACATGCTTGATTCTGTGCAAAATTGCCAGTAGCAGTATGGAGGATATTTGCGTCTACTCCCAGTCTGTTACCAATTAAATTACATACTTTGAATAATTTGATTAAAAGCTTCCTCTTTTTTTTTTTTCAGGAACAGTGTAGATTGTCAAACATCCGAGTTCTCCGCCAGTGGCTTGGTGTTTCCTGCCTACAACAGCACTCAGCACTGTTGGTTCCAGTCCGACCCCCTCCTCTTCAGCTGTGTCCGATCAGACGAGTCTTTGACGCGCGTCTGCCCCTGTAGAGACTTCATTAAGGACCAGATAGCTTTATGCAAAGATTGTATCTAACTTATGGTAGAAAACAGAACATGTCATTGCCTAATTAAAGGTGGGGTAGGTAAGTTTGAGAAACCGGCTCGAGATACACTTTTTGTTATATTCCATGGAATGCTCTTAACATCCCGATAGCAATGAATATCTTAAGTGCTTTGACAAAAAATCCATAAAAAAATGTCATCTGTGGAAGCCGTAATACTGTACAAAGTACGACCAATCATTTTAGCCAGCCCGGCTAAAATAACTGGATGGCCTACCTGCCTGTCAGCCTTCCATCTGTGCACAAACTTATCTCGTGCCCTCATTGGTCATGTGCACGTTCGTGTGTGTTGGAGGAGGGGCTCTATAAGGAAGTGGCAGATTTTCTCCGGTTGTGTATTTTCAAATTCTAGCGATCTCGAGCCGGTTTCTCAAACTTACCTACCCCACCTTTAATGTCATTAAAAAGTATTTATATTGGTCTTGTCTGAATAGTCACAACTCATACTCCCTTGTGTACTTTCGGCGAGGTTTCTGTCATCCTCACAAACAAGCCAAGGTGTCATGATATCACATGTTGCCTGGATAAAGGACCACCAATGTTTCATTTGAAAGAATCAGTTAGACTACCTGCAGTTTTGAATGTTTGTACAAAATTATTGGGTTTGTAAAACCCGTCAAGGTTGGTCTTTAACGTTTTACGGGGAACACAGATGTTATTTGTAGCCATTTGACAGCTGGCCACTAACCAGCTTAGCATTTACAAGCTTACCTCTGACAAGGAATATAAATCACAACGGTGCAGTTTCAGATACGTTTCTGATGAAGCATTAATAGTTTAGTCCACATAGCGTTCAGGCACTCCTCGACTTCTACTGGATACTTCATTTGCCAAGTAACGGGGCATTTGTCTGTAAAGCATTACATTCAGCCAATGTGGAAATAGATGTCAAGGATTATTCACAGTCTCCTGTGTATCTCCAGCACACACACTGGATGCAAACAGGATGTCATAAAGAGTGAACCAGGTGGAGCCAGGAGGAAATAGTAAACAGGAGCTTATAGAAAATATTCTTTGGTTTCGGTTTGTGCAGACAAGGCAAACAGACTTATTTAAGACAAGGATACAATAACAACTGACCGGAAACCTTACTGTACTAAGAACAAAGATTTAGGGTTAGGTTAATATGACAGTCACCCTGTCATTGCTGACAGTGGTACCCTTATTACCGGGGCATCGCCATTGGTAACTGCTGCATACCTGACTTTCTTCAGAGCAGATACTTTTCAAAAAGGGGACTACCGAATGAAAAGCAACAATCATATTGGAAAAGGCACCAAAAAGGCTCTCTTAGGAGGCCATAACATAACTATTATTTTTGCATAAAACACAAACATGCGTTTTTTTAATGTGATGTCTACATTTTTGTTTGCTTATATTTTGTTCCCCCATTCTTGATACTAGTGATATTACAATTCCTGTTTGTATATTACAATGCCGAGCAATACAATTAGCTGAGTTATCTTCCTTTCGTAACAGAATGTCTCTACCTCCTGTTCAGCTTGGTAGAGAAACTCCCTCTGGATGGAACCTTTGCAGACCATTTAGATGCACGAAAACCTATATACAGGAAAGGGAAAACCCCAAAAAGCAGAATAGAGTCCCTTTAATCCAGTTTTTATTTTGCCCTTATTGCCCTAAATGAGGAGGCTACATGCTCAGTGGGCGGAGGATTTCCTCTTCCTGCAAACTTATCAACACAATTACTTTTAGGCGAGCGACTAGTGGTTATTAATTATTAGTCCCATGTGCAGACCACCACTACCATTAAAAATATATGTAATAGTTTACCCCCAAAGCTCTCTCTGTGCACGCTGACACCATCTCATTATCCAGAGCCTCCTGAGAAAACAAGACATGTAATTGGTCTATTTATTCCATTATCCTTTTTCTTCCACAATGCATAATTGTGATGCGTAACTCCCCCATTTACTCCCCCATGACAGTTGCGTGGTTGGAAAAAAAACAAGAAAAACCTTTCTGAACATTAAGCAGGATAAAACTTTATTAATCAATAAAACTTTGCTCTTTGACAAAGAGATACCTCATAGTTCTTTTACATAAATAAATGGTGTTCACATCATCTGTAATACCACTGATGTCATTACTGTACAAACAGATAAATAAGAACTCTGTTAGTGAGATTTATTGGAAATTCAGTTACATTTGTCCATCTATGTTATGTTTCGTGTGTGTGTGTGTGTGTGTGTGTGTGTGTGTGTGTGTGTGTGTGTGTGTGGCTGGCTGCAATGCACCTGTAACCACTGAAGCTATGCAAAGCTGTAAGCAACAGAGAAGTGGTTAGTATTGCTATCATAATTTTGTGAAATGAAGTCAAAGTAATGATTTGATGTCTCTTCTTGTGGCACTAATAATAATACATCTATTCATCCATACAATACACAGTATAATTTAATGAAACACACATCAGAAGAGAGGAACTGGTGTTTTCAATGATTTGGCACGAGCTGCAAAAATTGGACATGTTTCTGAGCTATTTCAATGGAACAAAAAAATTGATTAGATATCATACTGCCCGGCAAATGAATATGGAGGTTATGTTTGTGCAATTTGATAGTGAGTGGGAAAGTTCAAACATGTCTTTAGGCAGTGGGAGAGAACAAAAATCACATTATAGATGAATGAAAAGCAACTGCAATTTTTGGTGATCGTAGAATTACAGGTATATCCAACATATATGACTATTTATTTTGGTATTCAGCTGTTGCACTGACCTGCTTTACATTGAGTGCAACAGCTTCAAAAGATCACCCATTACTAAGGAGTAAGGGGCCACAATCCCAGCACCCGGCCTACATTTTAAATAGCATGAAGAAAAAAGCATGAAAACACAAAAAAATGCAAAGAGGTAGAAAGGATTTCACTGCTAAAATCAACGCAATATAGTTATCCATATGAGCAAAAGCGCAAGTAGAGCGTAGCATTATTAAGAGTTTGTTCTGTGCCTTGTCATGTGGTTATTTGCAAGTAAACACTGTGCTTTGCTAGTAAAAGTCGCTGTAAAGATTGTCTTTTATGCATCAGAGGGGAAACATTACAAATCAGTGTGCTGTTGGTGAGTTGAAGTGGTGCGAGAGGATTCACACCTTTCAGTTATAGCTATTCACAAAATAAAATAAAATATCATAGCAATAATGTTGCACTTTGTCCAGTGTGTCAACTGAGAGTTGATAGTTACAGTGTAGAGTGGATGTAGGCGTAGTCAGAATCACTGTCCTTGGATATGCTACTGCTCGGAATAAATGGAGACTATTTTCCTAGATAGTAATTACAACTTTTGTCATGTGGCTTTTTAACACAAGGGGGCACTCTCAATCCATATTCTGTCATGTAGACAGGGAAAATGTATTATGGGTCATGGGTAAAAAGCTCATGCAAATCTGTTTGTGCTAAGCAAAGGGTCTCTGAATTAGTTATGTGAATTTATTTCTATACTTTATAAATCAAAACAGAATTTTGCCTCAAATTTGCCTCACGTTTCATGAGTGAAATTGCTAATTTGGAGGGTTTTCTATTTCTTCTGAGAGGATGACAATGGAGGTATATCGCTCAATTGTGTGACGCAATTCATAGCCTTTCAACTTTTTGAAAAAAACGTTCTGGTTGAAGTTATGACACCCATAGAGTTTAACATTATGAAGTAATTTGTGATGCATAATTGTGTAGCGATTCATTTTCAACATGTTCAATTATGATTTGCTTGACAATCAGCTCCTATTTTGAAATTAAAGGATCCTTGGACAGCCGCCTTCATCCGCTCTGATATTTTTAATTTAAAGTGCAACATTTACAGTAAGACTTATGTCATTTCACCAATAATTTACAGTAATATGTAAAACAACATTTACAATATAAGCACTATAGAGTAAGGATTCATAACTATATGCAACATTGATCATCCTGTACTTGAATAATATGCTGTCTAATCTGAAAAGCCTATTATGTAAATTACGACGACTATATTTATGACTTAATTTTAACCGATGCACCCGAACAGTGTAATAAACATATTTACAGACCGTGTGGTTTGTATTTACATTCAGTTCATTGCACATAATGGTTGATAACAATGGTAACATGCAGAACAAATGAGTAATACACAGGTATGCAGATGCAGGATTGGAAGAAACAGCATCTCTGAAAATGATATTCCCTCAGGCTGCTTATCTTTGTGCTTTGTTTCGTCTTAGGTCTGAGACTTTGTCTTATCCAACTTTCCACATTAAAATGTGCAGGCAAAACAACGAGAAAAAGTAAAAAGAAACATGAATAAAATATTAAGAGAAGTAATAAATATCCCAATCGGATTCAGTACAAAATTCCATAGAGAAAATTATAAATCAAAAGGATTGTAGAAAATCGTACCAGAGGCTTTCTGGTAGTGCCTTTGACTCTATTCATAATCTTAACGTGATGAGGTGTTAAAACCGAAACATATTACGTTTTTTTCCCCATCTTACCCATAAAGAACTTGGGATTTATGAGCACTCATCAGTTTCAGTACATTTGTAGTTATTGCATGTGTTTGTAAAAAAACAAAAAACAAAAGACTATACACTACATGGCAATGGAACATATGTAAAGTCAGTTACAGCAGGTAAGACAAAACTGACTAAATACCCTCAAATCATTTTTTAATACGTTATCGCCCATTGTGCTAAACCTGGCACTGTGCTGAAATGTGCTTGGATACATTACACACAGTATAGCCATCAATGTTGATCCTTAGTGCCGATGTGCTTCTGTTTGCTTTTAGTTGAGTTCCTAGATCGAGGCTGACCTCATTGTGTTTGCTGATGCCTTTGAGCAGCAGTGTTCGCTGACTCAGGACTGCACATGTGCTCTTCTACTTTCCCTCTCTTCCTCTTTCAGCAACAAATTAGGATCTAAGGTTGCTGCTTTGAAGAGAGGAGGCTGCTGGGGTTTTGAAACCATTTGTGTCTGATTAAGGACAGAGTCACCTGTACTTAATAATAATTACAAATAAAAATAGGAAACCTTAAATTGGTGAGCAGACCTCGACTTGGAGTTTGTCTCTTCCAAATCTCATTATACATGTTCAAAAGATATGCCGTGGGAGAACATGTCTGTGTATAAAATGTTGACCATTTAGTAATTTAGACCCTGAATATATCCACTATGATGAATCAATATACTGTAGTCTTGATTGTGTATATGTCATTCGAGCAACTAGTGTTATCTCCATGTCAGACAAATACTGCTAAAAGGCAGGAATCTCAGGTCTTGTGGCTTTCCTTATTCTAGGGGCCTTTTTTAAACTGGTTTTATGGACAGAAAGTGACAAAGGGCAGACAATAAGTATGTAGGTGTTTTCTCTCCAGGATTTGGTCTTCAAACAAGTCTTCAAACAAGTCCTTTTCTGTCAAAGTTGATCAGATGTCTGCCTTTGTGTGTGCATTAATGTGTGTTTCTTGATGCCTGAATGCACTATGTACAGTATTCACAGCGTGTGTTGTGCTGCATGTTCAGGTAAAATGTGCAGGAAAGTATGTAATAAAGACAGAGAGAAGAGGGCGGGGAAGTGTACGTGTTTGAACCTGCCCAACACACATTCACTCAAAGCGCTCGTAGTTCCTCGTCTGCCTCACGCGGGGCACCATGTCCACCAGGAGTCTGTGGGCAAAGAAACAAGGTCTCATTGTATGTAAATGTGCAGAAATACATTCTCCAAGGTGGTGCAGATCGTGCTGATTTAGCACTCAGCATGAATGACAAAATATGGATAGGCCTAATATAAATGATGAAATAATTTATATTAGTTATAATAATATATTATTATTATTTTAGCTTACTTGACGCCATAGGCCATGATGATGAGTCCAATGAGAACTCCGAGGGTGCCATCCAAAAACCAGACGTCAACGTGGTCCTTGTAGACTTCAGCGCTGATCAGAATGGAAAATCCCATGATAGAACCAACAATAGAGTTAAACCCTGAAAAAAACACAGAGATGTGGAAAATGTAATCTAGAAGTACTGAATCAGAAGAAGGCCGGATAAGTTCCCAAACATATAAAGAAACAAAATGTTACTTGGAAAAACAAAACACAAATGCTTTCACAATGACAAATGCGTCCTTAATAATGTTGAAAGGTTGCATTTGGACTTAGAATAAATGCCTTTTAAATTATAATAAAACAACTTGTTTAAAAAAGGAAATATGTATAGTATAATAAAGTACATTATAATATGTTAAATTGTCAATTGCTATTGGAAAAGACACCATTGAAAGTCAGCTCTGCATACCCGTCCTAACAATCGAGAGAAAAAGAGTTCAATGATGTCACAGGGAGTCTAAATGAGAACGAAGAAAGGGAGTGGAACACGTGAAATAGAAAAATAAAATTGTATTTTCTGTTAAGTCCTCATCCTGCTGCATGGTCTGTGTTCTAGGGAATTCCTGCATACATTAACTTTAAAAGCAGACCAAGCCTACTAAATAATAATTGAATGCCTCTTTGATCACAAATAAATATATGTATAAATGGTGTTTCTATGAAAATAATCCAATAAACAGAAGAACGTCTGCAAACGTTAGGTTATCGTAAGTCAAACATATACTCTTGAGTGAATGAATTGCACTAAGATCTGCCCTGATTCAGGTCACCTTGTGGAAATGTGTTCAGAATACGGAAAATGTCCATCAAACAGGAAAGTTTCGTCAGCAAAGAAGCTCAAAGGGACTAAAGACCTAATATCCGATTAAATTAAGTCTGCATTACGTTAAAGCTTAAGCTTTAAAGGAAGGACTAAAAGAGTCATTTCGGTCCGTTTATGAATTGTTTGTCTGAGTAATGAAGTAGTCTAAGTAGTGGTAGTTTCAGTTTCAAATATGCTTCACTAATCCTGATTATGACCAATTTAAGAACTTAGATAAAGAGATGTCTGTTGAAATGTATTTACCATTTCTCACCTGAGGGCACAATCTTTTGGTTATGAAGGAAAAGTTTGATGTTTTGAATGTGGAACTTATTTGGAGTTAGACGAGAATATTGATGCTGCTCTAGTGACTGCACAGTAGAAATGAAGCTACAGCAAGCAGCCGGTTAGCTTAGCTTGGCATAAAGACTGGAAACAGTGGGAAACAGCCCACCAGAACCTTTAAAGGTCCCCTATTATACTGTTTTACATCAATATATTATAGGTCTCAGATATACACAAAACATGTCTCTGAAGTGTTTGGCTCAAAATACCAAACAGATCATGCATTGCAGCATCCCATAATCCCCTCTGTTTCAGGCCTGTTTCAAAAGTGCTGATTCTCTGTCTGTTACTTTAGATAAAAATAAGGAGCCACTCCCCACGCCCCTCTGAGAGATATTTGGTTTAAAAAGAACACTTTGGTGCTCTAAGAGGAGATTCAGGTGATAAGGTGTGGGGGTTAGGGTTAGGGTGGGGGGGGGGGGGGGGGGGGTTACCTTGGTTGGTTATTGGCTAATGGTTACACAAGCCAAAAAATCGTTATGACATCATAAAGTCGCCAGAATCTGATCAGCTCATTTTCACACAGGTTTTTATATAAATGCCTGTCATACAACTTTTAAGGTGCTAAAAGGCTAATTTATTCTTAAATCCTTTGCATAGAACCTGACTAGCTATTTTCCCCCCATTTACCACACAAACATGAAAGATATATTAGACCATTCATGAAACTCTATCAAGAGCAATTTTACTTTTCCATACAAGAACTTTCCTGGCTATATCATTCTTGAATACATTTACTGTATTTGAGTTACCCCAAATAGGGGCTTATGCATTTTTTATAATTACATTTCTCCTTGTGTGAAAGCTACTGCAGTAGGTTATTATCTCGCCTACAGTAAGTGTATGGTCTTGTGGGAAATAAATCCAGTCTCCGAAATCAGCAACCTAAGGTTTATTGGATTGATGCCCTGTGCGAGACCTGGGAATAGCAGTGTGTGTACGCTGTGCTTTTGTTCACGTGCACGTGTCTAGCAGCCAGTGGGTCATGACCTCTTCTTTCAATCCAGTTATTATAAGAACAACTTTCTCTGTAACAGAAAAATACACGCAAAATCTGTTTTGTGGTTTTGGCGTTAGGTTCAAATAAACCCTGGCTCTTTACACATAGATCAGACTAGAACAGTCTTTTAATGCTAATCTACTTTATAAATCTGCCACACTACATTTCAAAGAATTAGTTCTGGACTGACTTAAATTCTAGAATGCAGGCTCGAAAATGACATGCACAGAACAAATGACTATAACTTAACTTCTAAACGGGGTAAATTAATAATCTTTTTTCTGAAAGCAATGATAAACCTGTGAGTTGGATGTAGAAAAGTCAGAATCAAAATAGAATTTTTTTATTTTAAAGTAAAGTCAGATTGAACATAGTGAAAAAATGTAAATTATAGTGTCCGTCCAAAGAAAACCCATTACTTATAGTGAAAACCACCCTTGAATGATGGGATAGTAGACTAAAAGCTTTAGGAATCCAAACTGTAACATATAACAAGTACCCTGTATCAAGTGACATTTTACCTTTTAAGAGAGGTTTAGCAAAAAAACAACCACTTCTGGGGTCATTTGGGTGGATTTGCCAAATCTCTGGCCCCCCTCGGTTGATTTTGATGATTAACACCTCTTTTGAACCGTACCATTGAGGAATGAGAGTGATGTGCACGCAGCTTGCCCAAACCGAAAGCTATGTTACGCTCTGAAAACTGAAAACCGAAAACTGAAAACTAGGCTATAGCCATAAATATGATGATGGATTATCAGTAATCATTTTAAAGGGACACAGAGACATTGGATTAACCTTCAGCAGCGTCTTTGATCATTTTAATGCCATTGAACACAACTTTTGATCAGAAAAACAGCAAAGGTAAGACATATTTGCCGTTTTGGCTCCGTAAAGCTACGTGGTGTGTTGTCTGGGTTTGCCTACGTTGGCCTGAGTTTTGGTTACACAGTGATGATACGTATACCTCTAGAATCTGTGGAATCTCAGCTTTAATCTGATATGTTGTTTGTGCAGATCCGATAAGTAATAAAGTATTTATACCGTGAGTTCTGTGCTAAGTGCGTTAGCATTTTTTCGCTCAGGGCTAATTCAGAGGCTCGGCGTTAAACTTGTGTTTTGTTTCGGTACAAATTGTTCATATTGTCAGTTAGCTGAGTTTCTTCCCGTTAAGTGGGTATGACACATTAATAGGTTGTTAAATGTTAAGAAGCGCTGAGACACAGTTTCGTGAGAAAAAAGCCCGCAGCCGGGTTTAACAGGTTAACAAGTCTATGCAAAAAAAGTAAAAACCAATAATAATTTAAAAACATTATGGCATTTTAACCTTTTATTTTGATAACTTCATCAAATAATTATTGGTTCAAAAAACAACCCAAATTAACCAGCAAATGTCGAGATTTTTATCATTAATCGATCAGAACAACGACGATCTTGTCTGCATTGCAGTACTTTAGGTTCCTAGCTATGCTGTTAGAGTGGGATGTCCAACGAGGGAATCCTCTCACATCAATCCAGATAAATTAAGATTAATCCCAGGGTCAGGCGTGGACCCCATCCAGTGAGAGGTGTAAAATGTTTTGGGTTCATTATGAAAGTGTGCAAAACCCTAAGTCAGAAGAAACTTTCTACCTTCAGCCCTGCTTTTTGCACCAAGTTAGTGAATAACCAAGGTTGAGTTGTGACGTTTTTCTCTACGGTTGAAAGATCTAATGGAGTTACAAGATTTAATCGACAGCTCTTTTGAATACTTTTCATTGGTTAAGTATTGTGAAAACCAACAAAGACTCAAAAAGGGTAACCAATGGCATTGATTTATGACAATGATGGTGTTACAAAGTTACAGACAGCGACATTTTGTACTTTTACATTGAAATATTTCTAGTTTTTCGTAAGTAAGCAGTATGATACAATATATATTTTACCACTCTTACGCATGTTTTTGTCTCGCTCAATAGATAGGATTATTCAACTCTATCCCCTGTTAACTTCCCCTCTTCCGTAAATGCAAAGTACATTTTTAAGGATTTATTTTTCTCCATGAAAACAAATATTGCCACAGCAGGAAAGTCTGTTTTGTAACTTTTCTGGTTGAACTACTTCTCATTAGCAGAAGAGAGACACAGACATTGATCCTCAACACTAAAGGCTAAATAAATCACCAATGAGAAATGTAACACCAGAGAGTTTTCGTGGGCATTTATTGAGTAAAATACTATTTCCTTTGCCAATTTGACACGCTTTGTTAAGACCTCTTAAATTGGGGAACTTTTCATTTATTTATGTGTGTGTGCGGTTGCTTGTGTACCCTACCGTCAGTGATAAGTGCCCGGCTAGTCAGCACCCTTCCCAGCATGAACTTGGCCACAGCTAGCACAGCACATGTGATTCCGCTCACTATAGACACACTGTAGAGGAAGTCGTCCTGTGGAAAGACAGGAGAGAGAACATGGAACATTATTTGAATGATTCGTTTCTGGTCAACCGTGTGTGTATTAGAATAACAAGTAGAAACAAACAGAGAGAAAGCTACAAACTGTCTGTAGAGCAAACAGTCAAAAGCACCAACAACATCAGTCAGACAGAACCAACCACCAAGCTTTCCTCAGCTCAACCATAAATAATATATATACAGGCTTGACTTGGTGCATCAAGCCAAGGTCATTCAGATGGCGCCTCTAAGTGATGTGAGGGTCTGATGTTTTTAAGTTTCAGCAAAAAAACAGCACTTGACCCCAAAATGTCTCTCTAACAGATTTCACAGGGCCAACAGGGGGTACTGATACAGAGAAAGTAAGAGAAAAAAAGAAAATGGGACTATAAAAGATACATGAGAGAATAACCAAACTTTTGTTTTTGACAGACTTTACCCTGCTTCACCAGACTTGGGTCTTTTGTGTTTTTAACATGGATGGAGAAAAAATACATCATGACAAACACACCAAACTGAATAAACCCGCTTTTAAACTAGACCTTCTAGAACGAATATTAATGACTTATTTATTATGTCAGATTTGTTTAGAAACAGATTTTGGTAGACTGCTGATGTTAAATACCAGAAAATGTTCTGGCAAAATTCACTTGTTTCTGGGGACAGGAAATGCATCGTACATATTGGATTGTTAGTGTTTTAGGAGCAAGGGGGCACTAGCATCCTTAAAATGATCTGAACAAAGGACTTGTTAGAATGTTAAGGGTATTGAACATTGAAACAGTCCTTCTGTGGGATTTGATTGCGTAGAATTCCTGAAATTCTAAAGTCTTTCAACAATACTTCCTGTCAAGACCCAAAAACTAAAGTCCGCTGGGTGGATGTATATTGGGTTTAAATTCTTACACAAGTTCTAGTTTGAGGCTGATCTGCAAGTTTTCTTGTTGGACTTCCAATATGCCATATACTTCCATCTGTTGGTGAAGTTCTAGACGCAACGTACTAAAATCAGATATGGTAATAGTTTGCATTTAGTCAAGGCACTGCACAGTCACGGTTCATCCACTCACTTTATTTGCCTGAGACTCTTTGTCAGGATTGGATAACCTAATCCATAGCCTCTAGTCCAACCTGATTGACACGATTCATGGTAGTGACTCGTCATTCACATGGTAATCACGCTATAAAGCATATGCTGCTTCTTTGCCTAATTTACATGGGACAATAACTAAAGATATTAACTTCCTCCTTTAGTGAATAAGACTTGAACATACCAATACAAAATCTCATCAGATAACTTTAGTGAGTTGAGTCATTTTTCTCATAGACTTCTACACAATTAGACATATTTTTGCAACCAGTGAAGTCGTCCCCTGCTGGCCATTAGAAGGAATGCAGGTTTAGGGTACTTCCGTCTATTATTGCAGAATGGTTACAAATTTAACCTAGGCTTAGTCTTTGTATAAACCATTCTGTGACACAAGCACACACAATATATCGTCACGTAAACCAAAATGCACTAGCTTTCAGTTTGAGCTCTTTATTGCGGGTCAGCTAAACACTTATTATTCCCTTGCATCGTTTTCACTCCCATTAAACTTGAATTAGATAGAGGCTTTCATTTCACACGTCTACATATCCTTCATTGGCTGACTGCTTCTTATGTCAGAATATCACAGTTGTCAACAGTATTCTCTCTGCTTTACAGTATTGTGGAACACTCTATCCAGCTGTATTGTTTTCAACGGAATAAAAGGGCAAACAAGGGACACTTTTTTGCATTTTACTGGCGAGTACTTCTCAGATTGTTTAGCTTTGTTTATTGCGAAAGACTCTCTGAGCTCAAGATCAGAGAACAAACAAGTGTGTCACAGCATGCTAGTACTCTATGTATGTATGTGTTGCATCAGTGTGTGCTGCCTTCTCTCCACCCTCACATTGGCAGGGAGAGCCAATCTCAGCTCTGTGTGTTTAATCAGGCACTCGACACAGACAGCCTGCCATGAGAGCAGCGACCCGGGACGTGACGCGAATCAGGATTCCAGATTTTCTCCACCCTCTGTCTGCGCAATGTGATTTTATGGCCTGATATTTCAAGGTAGCAAGATGTAACAGTACTCTCAGTGTGTGTTGCTGTTGTTAATTTTTGGCTGTTAAATTTAAAGGGAACCGGAGAATATCTCAGAAGAATTAATCCCTGAATCAATGGCACCATTAGCCCAGAAACAGACATCATATGCAGATTTGACTTTTCCTTCTTAAAAATTCAATTTTTCTCCCTTTTTATAATCCTTATCTTGCCCTTCCTGTAACACGCTGTTCCGCAGATACAAACGTTAGAGCAAATGTTAAACCACCACAGACTTCTGTGTAATGAAGACTTCAGAGAAAATGTCTATTTCAGCCACACACCAGAAACCAAAGGTAAAACATAAAAAAATACGAGACACAAATGACAAAAATACGAGACAAAAAACAATAAATCAGTGAAAGAAGACATGGTAATGGAGTAAGATAAACTATGAAGTTGTTGGGTGAAATGAAGGAAGAGGGGTGAGGAAACAAGGAAAGGGGTAGGGGACAGAAAGAGAGTAGAACAAGATAATGAATGAGGAAGTGAGGAAAGGAAAAAGAGAGACCTTATAAATGGCAGATATTGAGATTAAAATATTCTTCAAACTCTACAATGTTAAAGGGCCCATGTCATGCTTTTCCGGTTATTACCCGTCCCCTTGTGTTATGAAGGTTTTTATGCATGTAAACGGTGTGCAGAGTCAAAACCCTCAAAGTACACCCTACAGCGAGTAAAACTCTAACACAGAAAATACCTCCCCAAAACGCCTCGTTGGAGATACGTCACTGCCCATTTGAGTCTTCCATTTAGTTCCGGGTACGGCATGATGTCATGCGGTACCCGGAACGAAATGGACCAATCCCGAAGAGCTATGGCCACACCCAGCGGCGCTGGCCGCACCCTCTGCCAGCCTAACATTTACTGTTGGAAGCTCTGGTTCAGTTCACAATCGATCCAGCCATGCCAATGCCAAGGACCTGTTTCCTGAAATGTGAGGAGAAATCTGAGCTGTTTGTCCTACCGACGGAAGAACCACGACGAAGTCAGTGGTTGAAATGTCTTTTTAACACTGTTCCTTCAGAGGTTCGAAGAACGTTACTGTGTGCGCGGCATTTCACAGACGAAAGCTTCCAAAACATTGCCCAGTTTGAGGCCGGATATGCACAGCATTTGAAACTGAAGGACGATGCTATTCCTAGTTTGTTTGGACCGTTTGGAGCAGGGGAAGATTCGGATACACAACCTGTAAGTTTGCATTGTTATTTGTGTATTTATCAAACAAGGTATCTACCACGACTGTTTAAATGTGTAAACATGTTTCGGACTGCTAAGCCAGTGCTAACTGTGCTAACTAAGTTGCTAGCGTTTCCATATCAACTCTAATATCAGCAGATGGCCTTACATAGGCTACATGTATCTCATAGCAGGAGAATGTCTGCATTCACACACGAAATACTCATAGACAGTATACTCCAGGTGATTTACCGTACGGTCAGTCGCGAAACGTAATTACATTATAGCTGGCGTTCCGAGCGTGTATGCTACCGAGCTAAACAACAAGGCTACTAAGAGCTAGATATGAGTTTGCTCGGAAAAACATTGTTTTTATGCCAGCTACAATGAATGTAGCAGACTACACATATAAGATTGCAATTGTAAACATGTGCTTGATAGCCTAATATGAACCACTATCTGTTGTTCATAGTATAGTATAGCATATTGAACAACTGAACAACTAGCAAACGTAGATTAGCATTGTAATCCAGCTGGCAAGCTGACGAACATCAAACAACTAAGTTTATTTCACACTTCCAGCAGAGACAACGGGGAAATCCCCTCTCTTTGCCCGCCCCCAAAGGACAGTACATTACAGTTGGCTTTCCTCCGACGCTGATAGCATGTATAGCTAATGAGGCTAGCTATACATGCTAGCGGGAAACATTGCATTCATGCCAGTTACAATGAATGACCGAACGTAGCAGACTACCCGTATAAGATTGCAATTATAAACACGTTATTGCTAGCCTAATATGAACCACTAGCTTTTGTTCATAGTAGTTTTATTACACTCCATTATAGTTGCCGTTCCTCCGAGCTAACGTTCATATCGTGTTTGCTAACAAGGTAAACAAGAAAGCTAGGTTAGCATATTAGCTGGCAAGCTTACTGTGTTGATTATATAGATGGATTAGATAGATCCACACTCCTACCACAACTACTACTAACAAATCTAAAACAACTAAGTTTCTCTAATATTTTGTGATTTGCATTTGATTTCGTCCAGCCAGATCCTGGCGGAAAATACATGACAGGGACGGGACTACCACACTGAGGCCTCGTCCTAAAAAGCCCCGGCTGCGATAGGCAAGATGCCGACAACGAGGAGGAATGGATGATATACCGTGTATATATGTATATTTATGTTCATTTTGTACATTTCTAAAAATAAAGTTTGATGGAAATACTTAGTAGGCCTATCCTTTCTTCCCTGAATTATTTGCTCCTATAACATATCATTCATATATAGCAAACCATGATTTGATTTCTCATCAAACAGTAGTAGTTTATTACAGGTAAAAATAACTTACTCTTCTATAACAACAGTTGTAGGTACAGTTCGGTTAGTTAGCGTATAAAATATACGGCTGTACCGACGCCATTATAAGACTGATGTTCCGAGAGCGAGCCGAAAAAAGCACTGTTAGACATGGGCGGAGCCTCTTTGGTGGTTGACTAATCAGAACAGAGTGGCCGAGCTGACCAATCGGAGCACACTAGGCTCACAGGGAGGGGGGAGCAAGAGCTCCAACGAGTCGTTCAGTTGAGAGAGTGAATACTGCTGAATACACATACTTTACAGAGATGCTGAATGCGAAACCAATGTGAGTTTGGAAAATTGCACAGTATAAATCTATTTTAGTATACCTCAACAATGTAATTATGATCAGTGGAAATGGCCATGACATGGGCCCTTTAAATACTTTTCTGTTGCCCCTTATTAAATAAAATAATTATTGATTTCAAACAAAGCAATGTTTGTTCTTGTATTGTATACCTTCTTGTCTAGTTGTTCTTAGGTAATGGCTCCTTTGAGACCTAATACCCCCAGTGCCCTAATCTGGGGCTGTAGTGCTTGTTGATGCTTGGCGATTGGTAAATTGGTAAACCTTCACTCTCACTGGAAACTTACCTAAAATTGTAGTTGCTTTAACATTGTGATTTCATGATTCCTTCCGATATTATTGCAGATATGCTGTAAGCTAGTTAGCTAACGTAGCTCATTTCAAATATACTAACGCTTGCAATAATGAAACAAACTAACTCTGCGAGAGTGACAGTTGGCTAATTTTAAAATCCCTGAAGTTTGTCGAGCTTGTTTTTCTCTTGTTTTATTTGTTCTTATATGTGGCTGTATTTTTGTATGTATAAATCATTTTAAAAGGTGTTTATTTAGCTCTTGATGCTTACGATGTTTTTGTATTGCACGTTGAATTTGTTGGTTGTTAGAATGTGCTATTTAAATAAACTTTCTTAACCGTGTTTGCCTTACAAATTCTAGCCAAACCAAGTAGCCTTCGAAAGACTGTTACATAAGAAAAACGGATAAACAAACTGATAATCAATCTGATGCAGGTAAAGACAGAGAAACCCAGATTAAAAGAGAAGGTACTGTTCAAAGAAGGTAGAAAGGCTGGTGAAGAAAAGAGAGAATGTCAAAGAGACGGACAGAGGTAATGGGCTCATGCTGGTGCCAGGAAGCTCCTTTGAGACCTAACACTCCCGTTTCTATTAACATAGTGGCAGTGGAACATCAAACACAGTCTCTGCTCGCTTCTCTACCAACTTCAGTCTCTCGGCTTTAGATTAGTGGTCAAAGGGGCCTCACTGACTCATTTTTACACCATCAAACATGCACTTAAAAAAGATAAAAAAGACTCACATTTACTGTCTGGTACAGATATTTATAGATTCTCACATCCAATGTTATTTCTTCCTGTTTTCTCCTTACCTAACCCAAATCTATTCTTAATCTTTAGATCCTCACTTTGTGAAATGTATTGTAAAAAAACTCTTTCTAAACAGTATTTATACTCATGCTGTGCATTTAAATCTTCTTTTGGTCTTTTGCTACCTTGTAGCTAGTTAATTTATTTAAGTATAGCTAAGCTTTGGTAGACATAAAGTGGATATGTTGACCAAATATGGGAAGGCTAGACCCAGTACATTTGCAATTAAAGATGCAATTGGGAGCAAGGAGGTGCACACCAAGATCAGTCCCCACGTCATAACATTAATTTAATCTGCTTCATAAACATACAACAAGAAGAGGAAAAATGAAAGAAAATGAGAAGGTGTATGCGAAGGTTGGTGCATCCAATGCTAGCTAGTGTGCTTACGTCTGTACAGTTAAAGAGGTTCTATTATGCTTTTGGAGGTTTCCCTTACCTGTAGTGTTTTGTATAGGTTTGCATGCATGTAAACAGTCTGCTAAAGGCTACATTCCAAAAAAGGTCATGCCAGAGGGAGTTTCTCTCATGCACATTCCCCCCTCGCTTGAAACGACTCGATTGGACTCCTTTGTTTACTTCCGTAACATTGTGACATCACTAGGAACACTTGCGCTTCTATTGGCTAGCGCTCCGACACATTGTAGTGATAGGGTGAGGTGCGGGACATTTCCGACACAACTATAAGAAGTTATCACAACAGAGACGGCCAGCTAACCAATCAGAGCAGATGGGCTCTGGTTTCAGACAGAGGGTGAAAAGAGGTGCTGCAGCACAGGCAGTATGAGAAGAATAAAGAGCTTTTTGAACATTAGTAATGTTAACATGTCACAGTAAAGGCACAAAATACAAATATGAATCTGGAAATTAGCATAATATGTCCTTTTAACATTGGTTGTTTGGGCCGATAAACAGAACAGTGCAACAGTTGCAAAAATACTGCAAAGCATATATTTGCTTTATCATTATGCCAAATGGTTTAAAACAAACGACCACATTTCTGCTGCTTCAAGTTTAGACAAAAGCATTTTAAGGCATTTTCTAGAAAATCCCACAGGCAAAGCACCGCCTCATGGTTTTTTAAAGGTCCAAATAGGCCAATAAGTCCAACATTTTGTCTCAACTCAAGGCTGTTTTCAATTCAACTGTGAAATGAATTTTGTTAACAGTAAAAAACTGAGATATGTTTGTTTTTGATAGAGCTGCTGGATCTATAACAAAATCTAAAAGTGCATCTGACAGCTTTGAAAATACAAGGCTAGGAATTTTAAAGAGGAGCTTTGTGTTTTTGGAGTGTATGCATGTCTCTTGGCTTCACTGGTTATTGAAATGGACAGATGGTGGAGGTTAAATCATTTACAAACCCAAATAGGAGGGTTCAAAGCACAGAGCTGGAAAAGATGCGATGGGCACTCCCCAAACAGTGTGACCATGTTATAGTCAGGCCGTGCTCCGGCAACACAAATATGAGACTATTTTGGGACCTCATTCACAGTCTTAACACCTCAAGAGAGATGTGGACAGGGAAGTGAAGTGTTGAAACTAAATGTGTGTGCATGTATGTGCCTGTCTGTATCAAAGAGAAAAAAGAGAACAATAGTCAGGGGGACTGAGACAAAAACTCTGACGTCAGAGCAGCTACAGCAGAAGGCTATTAATAGACACGCGCTCCAAACCATAAATGATGTGTGTGTGTGTTTTTTTGTATTGCTCTGTGTGTAGATGTGCTCAATGAGCCCATATGTAACTCAATGCTCAATTATCATACTCAGTGCAACCTTGTCAGAAAACACACACATGCACCTGTTTGCCACTTTTCTCATAAATAAGATGTCTATAATGTTGATGGAAAAACGAGGAGCATCTAATGAGCTATGTCTTTGTCTTAAAATACTGTAGGCTATCACAAAGTCCAAGGTTAGGTTTAAACTACTGCTTAAAAGACTGTCATGGCATGTGCAATCATTGAAAATATATACATTTTCTTTTATCAAAGATAACTTATTAATTAGATAAACCTTGCCCTTACAGAACTGCAAAATGTGATACAAATACATTATTATTGTCAAAAATAATCAGATTATTCCCTTTTTATAACACATTATTTTACAGTTATATTCTAAATTAACACCTTAAAGGGGCACTCCACCCATGTTACATTGTATTCAGTTTACTTGTCACTTCACTGACTACTAGTAGTATGAACAAATACACTGACTGTGAACATATTTTGAAATCTATTTAATGCTCTTAAGTAGCTTGAAACATTTCAAAAAATCTTTAAACTGGTGATATTAATTCTCTATCTAACTTTCTATTTGACAGCAGTTATCTCACAAGACATAGAAGCCAAGAATTACCACCAATGTACCATGGTTCTTGTTTTAGCATGATATGAACACAACTCCATTAAGGATTTTTTCTTTATGCTGTGTGTGTGTGTGTGTGTGTGTGTGTGTGTGTGTGTGTGTGTGTGTGTGTGTGTGTGTGTGTGTGTGTGTGTGTGTGTGTGTGTGTGTGTGTGTGTGTGTGTGTGTGTGTGTTACCACTTCAGGAGGCTCCCTGGTAGCCAGATTATGGATGGCCTTTCCAAGGATGCACAGGGAGGAGAGGACGAACACCACCCCGAGGACCACACATGCTCTGCAGACAGACAGAGAGAAGAGTTTAGGAGAGTCAGCTTTAGTGACTATCATGTCTTTGGTAAACTTGCCAATTGGCAAGTTACATACAGTTGAACCAAAGCAATAACACGAAGACTCGAGAGCAGTCAAACTGTGTTCAATTTCTTTAACAACTTATATTCCTTAAATCCCAGCCAGTGGATCCAAAAAGACCCCCATCACCCCAACAACAAACTGTCCTGGGTGCTGCCGACTGGCAGGCGGTACTGCAGCATCAGGACAAAGACCAGACAGTTTATCCCACAGGCCACAAGACTATTTAATGCCTGAGCTCTGTTTAGTGCCTCCATAACCTAAAAGCATTCAACTTAACATTTCCATTCCCATTTCTATACTGTAGCTACTGTGTATATGACAATAAAGCCTTTGAATCTTTGAATACTTAGACTTTTGAAAATGACTTATGTCAATAATAAATCATATGCATGTGTTGTGGTAATGATGCATCCCTTCAATTACACTATTTATTGAAGTTAATTTAACAGACTAATGACCGAATAAGCCATATATCAGTGTGTCTGGCACAGTGCATGATGGATCATCCTGCAGAAAAAAGCATTGAAAATAAAAATGTGCCTGATATTGCATATAACATCACTACCAAATGTATCACTGTTGCAGTGTGTTTGGGTGTGTCAGAAAACTGTTTACAGTGTATTGAGGGCACTGTGTGCTACCAGAATAAACAAGTTGCCATTTGAGGGCGGCACTTTGTGATGTTGGATCATTAAAACAATATCCGGGATAATGAGGTGAATGTTTTGGAGTGAAGGACTACAGGATGCTTGTATACCCACAATTCCTTGCTCTGGCAGCAGTGGAGTAAGATGTAGTTATTCCACACCACTGCAGTGCACAACAAAACCAATCACATTTCACTGAGAAAACTTTGAAGTCTGCATATGTTTTAGTCATCATTATCTCCAATGCACACTTGTCATTGGAGATCATGATTACTAAAACCTCATAAGCTCAAAATGACTTGGAGGTCAAATAGCTGAAAAAGTATAATGTCAAAAAAGTTGACATACAATTAAGAAATGCTATTGTATATTAATGCAGCCTTAATATACTCTCCATCAAAGATAATATATATCTATTATCATCATCTTAATTAAAAATGGGTGTTAATAAACCCCCTGAATATCTTTCTCTTTTGCCTCTGTACCTAATCTTTCAGACACACAGACACTGTAACTTGAATGTCTCCTTCTGCCTAATTCCTATTCTACTTTCTAATTTTGTTTATGTATATGTATTAGCCGAAGATGTACAAACAGGAACTCTAAAGCTTTCCCCTCCTCTAACTGAGGGCAAAAACCTACTTGGTCAAACATTAAGGGTCCTGTTCACATCTGTTACAGAAAAATATAGCTTTTTATGTGTATCTTTTTTTTCACTTGTATTGTCATTACATAGTACAGGTACTATATAACAAAATGGTTTCTCTGCATTTGACCCATCTTAGTGTTAGGAGCAGTGGGCTGCAATATGAACGGCGCCCGGGGAGCATTGTAGGAAACGGTGCCTTGCTCAGGGACACCTCGGTAGCACGTGGTCTTGCCGAGACTTGAACTGGTGACCTTCCAATTTTTCGGGGTAAAATAAACTACGGACATACAGTAATATCATGTTACTCATTGACGTCGTAAAGGTAGCTTTTGTTGAACCAAACGTGGTCCCCCTGAGTGTTTGGTTAAGCCATTCATCATCAACCCTGCTTCTTTCCCTCAGAGGACCTTTGTGCTCCTAAATCTTACTGTGGGTATTGTCCACAGTACATGTATGATATTAATGTGTACTTGTAAAAGCGCCTCGATGACTTCGAGGTGTGAAGATGGCCGGTGTGGCGCAGTGCGCTGTGCAATGATTATCAGATCAAGGGGGTGAAACCTGCTGCCGCTGCGTCTGTAAAGCCGTTGTGTCCTTGGGCAAGACACTTCACCTGAACTTGCTCCTGTGGGTATTGTCCACAGTAGACCATTACATGTATGTATGATCTGTATGTGTAATGTGTATCTGTAAAGCGCTTTGAGTCATTGATAAAGCGCTATAATAAATATAAGGATTATTATTATTACTTCTGCTGCTCTGGGCGTCCAATAATGAGGCGAATGGGTTTACATTGGAATTACCTGAAAGTGCATTAGTAAAGTGTGTCTTCTGCATTAGTACCAAGATGCCAGCGCCTTACCGAAGAGTCCGGGAGTGAGACAAGGATGGAATATGTGTTGTATGTGTTTAGGTACATTTTAAGTACACAACCTTTTGTGTGCTCATGATTCTGATTCTATTATTGGATGGAGAGTGGCAGCTCAGTCCTTTATCACCTCTGAGTGGAGCAGAGGTGCTGTTGTTGTAAGGCTCTGTGCAACCTGACAGCCAGTTAATGGACTCAGCTGAAGGATTTATAGGCTTCTGTTTAGCTGTGATGTACAGTGACATACTGAACAGCAAGTGACCATGAAATGTATTGTTCCACTCCCTTCTATGTCAAATGTGACTTAAACAGATTACAGAGGTTCACACCCTTAAAGGTGTCAGAAATATTATAATTCCCAATGGCTGAAAGATCTGAGTTATTTATCGATACAATATCCCCTTGAAATATGGGGTTCAGAAACAAAACAGATGTGAAATATGGAAACAAGTATACATGCAATGCAACGTTTCCACCTTGCAAAACAAATCCTTTGTTCTTCCACCTTTTCTATTACACAGACCTCAGAATGAAACCACAAAGTTCATAGTTTCTTTTTCAGAAGAAAAACACACCGGTATGAAATGACTGGATTGTAAGGCATGCAATGAATTCCTCACAGTTTATGGTAAGGATCAGAAATTGATTGTATCCTTACTTTAACCCTTATTCGGTACATTTTTATCTTAGTAAAAGTTGAATGTTCACACCAAGCGGCAAACTCTGGGGAAGAGCCGGGACGCCAATACGGAAGTGCCACAAACTGCAGTTCATATATTGGCCGATAGGCGATGACTGCAGAAAGGAGCAATTTCCATAGACCCCCATGTTAAAATGCCCAATTTTACAGCAGAAAAAAACATGTTTCTACCCCTGGATGCAATAAATATTATTATGGATATAGTTAGATTCCACCTTCATGATTATGAATCTGTGAGTGAATTGTTTTCTAACGCGACCCTTTTATTTATATTAGGTCTTAAAGTTTTTGCATAAATTAGGGCGTGGTCACTTTGATGGACAGGTACGTGCCTCACTGTCAGCTAACAGCAACTTGTCCACTCTGCTAGGCTACAACGTTAGTTAGTTGTAGTTACTGTACTTGACCCTTTAGCCGTGTTCGTGGTGATTGTGCCTTTTAGGGAATATTATTACAAATACCAGACAATTAAAATGTTGTGCTGTGCGCTTGAATGTACTAACAGAACTTCCAAGAAGTCTAAAATGATAATATTATGCATGTTAACCCCGTTAGCAGGTGTTTGTGTGCTTGTTAGCTTAGCTTGTTATGTAGCTTATTAGCCAGCTAAGGACGTAACCCTTTATACATGTATATATATATATATACAGTTTAGTTTATGATTCAGCCTTGGGTAAGACTTTTATAGTATATGGCTATGACGCCCAAATTGCTAAACGGGAGCAAATGATAAAAGGGGACCCAATTATCCCAGTGGTGGCCGCCGGAGCTAACGGAGCCGCAGGGGGCTAGCTCCAGCCGGCGTCCAGCTCCAGCCGGCGTCCCGGAGCCCCCTGCGGCTCCGTTAGCTCCGGGCGGTGGAGTCCGGCGTTATAACTGGAGATCAAGGAATGCAGTGAAACGCGGACTTGGTTCGCCTGCAGCCCGCTGTAGTATTAGCTGAATAAATTATGTTGAACAAGGCTTATTAAGCTGAACATCGCCACAATTGTTCTGCTATGTATCGGTACTTCTTTTATTAACGTGATGACAAGCATTAAAAATAACAAAATATAGCTAATTCTCTTGCAGATTGTCTCGTTTGATTATGAATGTAACGTTTATAGGGAACTACACTGTTTTATCAAAACCAAAGTGCCACGCAGTAACTTGGTATGCATGTATTTCATGTTAGCTTAGCTTCTTAGCCTGAGCTACCTCTGTTTACTTCCAGTTCGGAGGCAGCAGGTCCCGCCTCGGCTCCGCCTCTTTGCCCTTATTTGGAGCAGGCTGGAGCAGGCGGGAGTTATCAAATCAAATCAAATCAAGTTTTATTTATAAAGCACATTTAAAAGCGATTTTTGGTCGAGCCAAAGTGCTGTACATGTAATAAAAACACATTACTACAATCACAATAAAAGACAATAAATTACAACAGATATATATAAAAAATTAAAATAAAACACAAGGAAAAGTCAGGAGTCGTACTCCGCTCTAACTAGAGGGCCAGAGAGAAGAAGTGTGTTTTTAGTGTAGATTTAAAAACCCCTAGGGTCTGGGCCGACCTCACATGGAGGGGCAGAGTGTTCCAGAGCCTAGGGCCAGCTGCTGCGAAGGCTCGGTGCCCTCGGGAGTTAGCCGTTAGTGGCCGACTCCGCCTACTAAGGGCTTCTCGGCAACTCTGCAGAATCCTATGGGTGACGTCACGGACACTACGTCCATTTATATATACAGTCTATGGTTCACACCCAATGACGTAATATCTTCGGATAGATTGGGGTTACATGGATAATCTATTATATAGAGCAATGAATTTTGCATGTGCTTTTTATATTGGTTTCTTCCATTGTAATCCATTTGTAGTTTTTCCCACCTCTACTTTTATCATCACCATTTGATCCAACTTCGAATTACAAACAAATGTGAAAATAATACAATTTTTTATTTAAATCGTCTCAATGAGACAGCAAACATTACAAAACGTTAAAAAATAGTGGTTAATTTAGCATCTTTGCTTATCAAGATCACAGGGGTTTGCAGAAATAAATATCTAAATTTAAACATGACATATGATGGATGAACACTTAATGCAAGAGCTCTCTTAAAGGTGGGGTAGGTAAGTTTGAGAAACCGGCTCGAGATACACTTTTTGTTATATTCCATGGAATGCTCTTAACATCCCGATAGCAATGAATATCTTAAGTGCTTTGACAAAAAATCCATAAAAAAAATTCATCTGTGGAAGCCGTAATACTGTAAAAAGTACGACCAATCATTTTAGCCGGCTCGGCTAAAATAACTGGATGGCCTACCTGCCTGTCAGCCTTCCATCTGTGCATAAAACTTATCTCGTGCCCTCATTGGTCATGTGCGCGTTCGTGTGTGTTGGAGGAGGGGCTCTACAGTATAAGGAAGTGGCAGATTTTCTCCGGTTGGGTATTTTCAAATTCTAGCGATCTCGAGCCGGTTTCTCAAACTTACTTACCCTACCTTTAATGTAATGCAGGTAGAGAAGCCAAAACCAAATTGCATCACACCCCACTCATGTATCATTAATCACACTTTAATTCAACTTAGAAAAACGTTTGGTACTCACATGTACTCTCTGTGTGCAGAGTGCACAGCTGCTGCGTTGCTGTAGCGCCAAAGGACAATGAATGATGAGAGGATGTCCAGCGTAGCATTAAACTACAACAAAAACACAACCAGAGACACAAATAAAGAGAGGAAAGGGTCTACAGTTGTTATAGTAGTTGCATCTAACTTATTACAACAGCTGCAGCATTGTAATGACAGAGTGCAGTGATAAGATACTATAGATCTCTAAAATAGTATACATACAACATAGAATATATTGAGGAGGGACATTAAAGGTCATTAGTATAAAAACCTCAACTTCTAAATATAATTATGATATTCCCCACTTGATTACTTACATTAAGACATTTCCTTTTTGTATTTCACATTTTCTGAACTATTAGGTTTTAGATATGTAAATCAGGCATTATCTATTTGGGTGCATTTTGAATAAATCTGCAGACACAAATAGACAAAGTTAGTAAAATAAACACCTCAATAGGTACTTTGATGGTTATTTTAACGCTTATCTGAAAGAAAACATGTTCAGTAAGCAAAATACTGTAGCCAGAAATCTCAAAATTGAGAAATGCATAGTGCCTTGCCTTCAATATTGTCTGTTAAAATAATATGTCATATGATATGTTGTGTTACATAAAGGTGTATCAATGCTGACAGTCAAGGTAGATTATTTCACATTAACCCTCCTATTGTCTTCGTTTCCCCCTCCCCTTACCTTGGTGTTCGCGGTCAAATTTGACCGGTCCTGTTTTAACTGCTATTACATTAACACAAAAACCATTAATCATCACCAAATGGTGACGTGCGTGCGTGCGTGCGTGCGTGCGTGCGTGCGTGCGTGCGTGCGTGCGTGCGTGCGTGCGTGCGTGCGTGCGTGCGTTCCTTTTCTTTATGGCGGTCATTTTTGACCGGGAACACCATGGGTGTTACAAAGTTGACTAAATCATCCAAAATTCAATGAAAGTGGTGATCAGCAATTGTATATGTTCAATTGTCTACTGTGAAGGATATCATAAAGCCTTAATGCAATCGAATGCAAAACAAAAAAGTTTTGATTGATGAAAGTAGTAAATCGGTCAGATTTGACCCGAAGACAACAGGAGGGTTAATATGAATCCTGTGTTGTTAGTGCACTTAATACAATATGGGCACATTATCTTATGGGCATGCATATCAATAAGATGTGTCAGTTGTATTGAAGGGTTGTTGTTGCATGTTTTATTGCAACATGGGAATCAAGATGATACAACATATTATTAATATTATAGTATTTGACTAAGTGCATTAGTCCTCTATTAGCTACAGATGGAGCATCTTATTTCAGACTCCAGCTTACTGCTTCCTGCCTACTACCAGCCAGTTACCTGCCTAAGACCTGCCAAAGACCAGTATCTGGGAATGTTAAGCCCTCCCACTATTTTCCAAGAGGGCGTTGCCAGATTTTCAATTTCAGGATTTAACCAGGAGATGGCGCTATATATTAAATAACTATGGCCAAACTAAGACTTAGTTTTTCACAAGAGAAAATGCAGATATTATATAAAAAACTAAAGTTAAAATCTTGTTTTTAATGCCCCAAGAGCAATAAAAACACTTGTTAAAAAAATCCTGAGTGAGGCTTTCATAAATTGCATTTAGCTGACGCTTTTATCCAAAGCGACTTACTATTTAATAAATGATAAATGATTATTCATAACAAATATGAGTGATGTGTGATTATTATTCATGCTATATACTAATATAGGGCTAAGTAAGCAATCAATCCTGTAAATTAACCCTTAGTTGTTCAATATATTTATTCAGACAATGTGAGTAGAAATACAGAAAATCTGCTCTCACCTAAGGCCAACGTTGCAATATTACAACATTTCCCTAAAAACTTACCAAAACGTAAACATTTTTAAAACTCTTTCATTTCTGCTCCAGAGGCCAGGGGTTAAATTGGGATTTGATATGTGGGGGGGCTCTGTTAGAAGGTGCGACGGGGGAGGGGGGAGAGAGTTAGACGCTCGTGAATTGTCAACGGACAATTGACATCAGAGCATCGTCCTATGGGCTTAGCCCCGGACAGGTACAACAGGTATTCACTCAGAGGGGGGTAGGTACTAAATGCCACTATTTACATGTAGGCAAACAAAATCAACATACAGTAGGGGGGGTGGGGGATGGTGAACGGTATGGTCAATGTTTGTAAACACAATCCCCAGGATGTGTCCTTATCAAACCAAAATAGAAAATGCAGATATTACACTCAGACATTGGAAAAGTCTATGTTAAAAAGGCTCAGTCACCTTAATTCATGTAATAAAAACATCTCAGGTCAGTAACACTGAAAGCTAAATGTGCAATACCATGTTCAGCTATGTTACTATTTATAATGTTATTGTTGTTACAACAGAAGATGTTTTTCTTTATATTGAAGTCAAATGCATCAATCTGGTGCACTTTGAGGTCAAAATTAAGAGATTTATGGATACCGCTGGAAAAAGCTGCATATGCCGAGCCTGTATGTAGCGCTGTAACTTCCTCCACAAAAGCAGCCTTCTGTTTATTCAACGTGGTGGGGGCCGAGGGAACCGGGCAGTTTTTTGCCGGTCAACGTGTGTGAAAGTTTAAATCTTCCTTATTGAGCTTTAAAACAAATGAATAACGACTATATATAATAATAAAATAAACACCGGCTGTTGTTATGCCTGCTGTAACGTTAAATTACTCCGTTCTCCGCTTAAATAATTATGCCGTTACAAGCTTCATAGTTGTATTTATCATCTAAATTTGCCGAAACAAGTTTAATATTCTGAAAGCCAAGACTTTGTTTATTTTAAATCAGATGAAAACACACTGTAACGGACCCTGCCGTGTTATCTTGATATTCCCGGCACAGACCCTTTCATAGCGGCAATGCGCGATAGAAACAACAGGAACTGCGACAGCATAAATATGCGAACACAAACCTACAGACTGCTGGAGAAGAGATATCACAGGGGGGGGTTGGGACACACACATTCCGATGGCCAATTAGTTTTAAACAAAGAGTATAGCCTACTCAACATAGGGGGGTGGGGGCTGGTGAACGGTATGGTCAATGTTTGTAAACACTGTGACATTTTGACTTTATTTGATCATTTCAGTTAAAAACTAACGTTCATATTTCTCTTTTTGAGAAGAGAAATATGAATATGTTAGTGGCTGACCCAGCCCCATGGTCTGTCACAGTAGTGCGGGAAAGAGAAGTGCACTGTTTTGCCTGGCTGGACCTGTAATTTACAGGAAAGGAGTGCACGCTACTAAAGAGACACGCTACCATGGAAACCAAATAATGGTGTTGCTGTATTGAAGTCCGAGTGGAAACAGTCATATTTGGAGCGTTATGTTAGAATGAAACAGCCAGGTTGTGACTCACAAAAAAAAGTGTTACTTCACTAACTGTAAGCTTGTCACTCAGAGTAACCTACAGTTAACTTAACTGTTGGAAAAGAAAGATCAGGGGGGGGAGAGAGCTGTGGGTGATGGGCCATTAGGTGTGTAAACACACAGCTGAGAGCTGCCGTTTCATTCTGACTGTTTAAAAAACGGTAACAACGGACTATTTTTCTTAGCGGATGCATGTCAATTTAAATCAATACATACAACTATTTTTTAAATCAATAAAAACATGTTCTAAATCCATAAAAGCATTTCAATTAATATTGGGAGTCATGTCGTTACTTTGTTGAGAATGTGGCCATGTAATAAGCGGGATAATTTGCAGCGACTTGGTCATTATGGGGAAAAATAACACCCAGGGATCAAGATCCCTCCGCTATGCGGATCTTGATCTGCCTGACAAGGCTCCATTAAAATATAAATATTTTTAGTGAATTACTGAGTTTAGGCACGTTAATAACATTTTAATGAAGTTGAATACAGTATATTCATATTTGTCAGTGATTTCATGTCAATTCGGCAAACATAAACATAAATGATCGTGGTGAAGATGATGATTAAATTAGGATTAAAAATCGAGAGCCGGCTGCATTTCCTCTCGTTCGTTTTTTTTCGACTAAACAACATTATTTTGTTAAATAACAACATGGTGATGTTTTGTAAATGATTACATGTCTTATTTAGCACAGACTATGATCCTATCCGTGACATATGGATCTTAACAAAGATCCGCTATACATTATAGACCCTCCAGAAAAACGCGATTATGCGATCGCATAATTTACCGCATAATCAGCAAAATAGCGCATATTTTTAAAAGGCCGCATATTTCTTAAAAGGTCGCATAATCCCCGCATTTTTCCACACAAAATTGAGGAAAAAAAAAGTTAACGTGAAGTAGTGATGTCATCAGCTCGCGCAGGTAAACAACACCGTAGAGTGAATGTGTGGAACTCACAGGAGAGAGAAAAGCAACAAGATCAGCGCCATATAGATTATTATATAGCCTACTATTATACTATTATTATTATTATATACTATTATAATTATACTATTATACGGCTCTGACCAAGATGAACAAATCGAATCCATCCCATTTGCCTACGAACATTTCCGCTAAAGACCGGGCAAAGCAGTACGCATATGTCTTGCACGAAAGTGGGGGGAAACTATTCTGCACCCCGTGCAACTGTGTGTTGGAACATACAAGATTGAAGCTGGTCAGATAACGAACGGGTAAATGAAAACAGAATGAGGCGGAGGTGTGTGTGTGTGTGTGTGTGTGTGTGTGTGTGTGTGTGTGTGTGTGTGTGTGTGTGTGTGTGTGTGTGTGTGTGTATCATAGGAACTCTTTAAAAGGGCTTCCTTTCATTCAGTAGTAGCCTAGTAACAGGGTGTGGGAGAAGAATCACCTTTTTTCCGCCTCCCGCATATTTCGCAACTTTTCGCATATTTCGCATATTTCCGCATATTTCGCAACTTCTCCGCATATTTCGCATAAAAACCCCGCATGTTTAATCGCATAATCAAGGATTTTAGCCCGCATAATCAAGGATTTTAGCCCGCATAATCAAGGATTTTAGCCCGCGTTTTTCTGGAGGGTCTAACATTAGTACCAGACATACTGTACATCCAGTTTACTGTATCGAAGTTGATTTCACATGAGCTCCAGTGTGGAACCACACTGCACCCCCTGGTGGATCAATGATCCATTGCAGCTGGCTTCACAATAATTAAATGTATTTATCACGGGGGCGGTATCAAGTCAGACTGGGGGCCGGCTCTTCATCACGAACCAGGGCCGATCACGGACCAATCACGGACCAATCACGACCCTCGCGTTTCAAACTGTCTGAAATAAGATGCTCCATCTGTAGAAATGCAATAAGGTCATATCTGCCCTCGAGCTGTATCATAAAATATGCTGATTATCATGCTCATTTAATTTTTGGTTTACATAATGTACCTGTAAAAGCTTGAAACATCATAGCAGCTAATGCTACCCACGATCAGCTGCTTTGATCTGTGCCGGCTTATATCAACTTATCGTCTTTTTGCTCCATTATTAGAATTGCCATAGATAGCCAAGCACTTTTAATTAAAACCCAATCTCCAATAAAAAGATATCCAGCACAGCAGATTATGATTTATAATGTTCTAATTACATTATGCTAATCACATTTGCGCTCACGGAGGATTTCATTTCCACTTAACTCTTATTAAGTCTTATTTTTTAAACCAATTACATTCAATCACTTACCCTAAATAATGAGAAGTAATAGGAAGCTTTTTTGGTAAAAGCTGGAAGACATGTTTAGCAAACACAAAATGCTTTTTGATATTCAACCTCAGCTCTATGCCCAGCCCCTTCTTCTCTGCCCTGTTACCTTGGAGACAAAGGGACCAATAACACCTTGGTAACAGGATTCATTAATAAATCACAAAAACCCAAGTAATGACTAATTGATTAATGCAAATGGAGAGGGAGAAGGGAGGCGGAAACTCACGGCAAATCCGAAGGCTGACGCGCTGTGTCTCATGAATGATACAGCTGTGGAGAGAGAGAGAGAGCAGTTAGCCATGTTTGTTTTTATTTCACTTTAGTTACGTGACATAAGTCGTTTGCACCGATTCCCAGGTGCAATAGTGATGCATTTTCATATGTTAACCTGCACCTACATGGTATCATGTTTAATAATGACGTGTTTTGTGTGCAAAATAAACAATAACATGATGAACCATCACATCATTATTAAGTGTTTGAACCTCAGGGGGACTTTCTTTATGAGTCCACCATGATAGACAGAACAATGTAGTACATTTAAAACACATAAGCTCAAATGACCATGTTAAAAAACGGATTTTAAGGTTCATGAAAAGACTGTTTGATAAGTGATTGGTTTAGTTTATTGCTGGTTCACATTTCAAGCAGTTTATTTAATGGCTGGTCTTTCGAATGTTCTTGCTGTGTAAGTGAGTTAATCGGATTGTTAACATTTAAAAAACCATGGTGATAAGAGCAGTGAACTGAAACCCCACAGCTGGGGTTATAAGACCAAAACAACATGCTTAAAGACACTAAATTACTCTATTGAGCTCAGGGAACAGCAGAACGTGTATCCCAATCTTAACCAACAACAATTAGTCAATCCTAACCAATAGCCTCTAAAACCAATCTTGACCAATAGCTTTTAACGAATCATAACACTTAACCAATTTAAACCAATAACACTTAGCCAATCCTAATCAGCATCGTAACAGTGGCATTACAATGATGTAGATGCATGAAGGTTTCCTGGCTGGGATTGAAGCTATTGTACATTCAGTACAGTTCTCGTCTGGCACACCTCTGCTTTTTTGCCCTTCTGTTCCTGTCTTTCTCTGTCTCCCCCTGTGTTTTCAGGACCGAGTCTCGGGGGATAGCCTTTCGACAGTCACCATGGTAACAAGAGATTTGAGGCCAAGTTGGGTTGAACTACAGAGCTTTCATATCCTTGCCCCCATTCTCCTCTCTTTATTCTTTGTCTTTGGCTCCTTCCAAATGTTTTCTCCTAGATTTTCTTTTCTCTCAGATTCTGATTTTGTATGTCACATATCTCCTCCTTTCTTTTCCTTTATTGCTATATCTCAGGGTCTCTTGACACATGTTTGAGTGTTGGCCATATTTTTCTTGCTCTACAGACATGAAGTGACACTACGTTTTGCCAGGCACTTATAAATATTCAAACACACTTTACAAAAAACTTTCCATTTATTACAATGCTTAAAGCATCACTTCAGTCTGAATTACAGTTATATTTACAACAAGGCAGAAAGAAAGGGGACTACAAAAGCTCAACGGGAGGGTAAAAAATATGGAGTGAAGTTAAAAATGGAGGACATAAAGAGAGATAAGAGGGCAATCCTAGACAGGCCCTTGGTACAATTTAGATGGTACTAGTCTGGGTGGGTGTGTGACACTGCCCACACACACTCACACTCATATGCTGTCACTCTGTCTGGGATACTGTCACCCTCTTTATCCTACATGACCTCTCCCGTGATTGTCTTCTCGCTCACGTACAAATTATTTTTCACACACACAGGCTGAGCTGAATCCTCCGGAGCTCCACCGGGGCCTCGTGTCCATCTGGAGAGTTTAAAGGCTTTTACGAAAACTGAAGAAACAACCACAGGGTCACTGGGCGATTCGAGATTTCCGAGATGTTCCCTTTCCAAAGGCAAATTAAGAGTATTATCTTCAACATCTAATACAAGGAGTGTTTGGTAACATTGTGCCTCATTCAGTAGCAATATAAAAACACATTTCCCCCTTTTTTCTGATTTTTTAGTACACATTAATTTGCGGAATTACAATACATTTGTTCATAGAAGTCACAGTAGTTTTTTTTCTACATTGGCATGCTATTTACACTAACTAATGCCATCAATACAAATAATCTGGATTTTTTTGATTGAGCTAATCATATTTGGTTAATCTGCTAATCTCCGCCAGGAATAAACCTGTAGAGAGTGAATGTGTATGTTCATGTGTGTGTATGTGTCTCCGCCTGTCTGTGGCTAATCTCTCATACTACTGGACCCTTCAGCCTAATATTTTTGTTCTCATTTATGATTGTATGCTCAAGGACCTCTCATGGTTATGATGATTCACAGCACAAAATCTATTCTATTGAATGTTTTTTACCATCGTTGACTGCTGACACTTCACTCCTGTTAACAAAAGAACCGTGATCAACAACAGCTCAGTAGCAAAAGGTATTTCTGCCAATTGGCCTAGATATAACAATGTGTGTGATTCAACGCACCTTTGTTTGGGAGAAGTGTTGGAACCACATGTGAAGGTCTGTACTAAAGTGACCCTTTCTTGTTATGATACGCTTTGTGTCAAGCTTTTGCCTGGATGTCACATCCATTGAATATTGTTGTATACTGATGAAATCTCATAGAAAAATTGTTTTATAGCTTCCCCTTTACTCTTCAGTATACATTTGTTTTTAGCTAATGCTTATCCATTTCATTAGGTGCATTTAAGCATGAAAATAAAATTTCAAGAATCCAGCGAGTACTTAAGTGCTACGTACAGAAGTTCGTTTTTTCTCTCTTTTACAACAAGTCCTCCAACTCATACGACCAAATAGGTTGATTGTTCAAGCGCTTATTACGACCAAATAGGTCGATTGTTCAAGCGCTTATTACGACCTATAATCACGTTTTAAAGTTTTCGACCTATAGCGCTCCCGTTGACTGCAAACGCTCCGGTGGGTCGTATATTCACAAATAACCCTCTCTGGAAAATCCTAAATTGTAGGATAGTTTGGCCATTTAAATGCTTTTTGATTAGATTTCTAGCGAGAAGTGTATATTGTACTTTTAGAATCCACATCCAATAAATATATACGTTGTAATATCTATCAAACTATAGATCCTACACATCCACTATGTGTAGGATCTATAGTTTGATAGATATTACGAAGATTATTTGAGGTCTCGCCAGGAGAACGTGTATACTACGTCTTTCCCCCTATTCATTTCTATTGACGGCAGCGTCCATGTAAAGTTAGCGTCAACCCTCACGGGGTGAAAACAGTATATCCGGTCTTGAAGTTTTAATAATAAATAAAACTATTACAGGTCTATACAGGTTCATGGTACAATGCATAAGCTTCAAATCGAGAGACTGAAACTGTATTTTTCTTTACCGTTCTGTTTTAATTTCACAATAAAGTTAATAGTAATATTATGTTTGATATTATTATGTTTTATTAACTAGACAACTGGGTCATGTTAAGACCATCTTTTCTGTCGGTTTGGTGTTACAAATATCAAAATATATATGTGTGGATAACAAAATAAATCTGTCATAAACTAAACTGGAAACGTATACTGGAAAGTATAAATGATTGTGTTAACACTGTAAACTTGACAGTTTTTTAACCCGCACCGCCTAGTGGTTAAAGCACGTTATTAAATTTTTTTGTTGAATATTGTATATTTGATAAAAAAATTCAAATATTAAGAGTAGCCTACATACAAAATAGGGGGAAAGTAGAAGGTCAATGATAGAAATATAGAATAGAAAATATCAAGAAGATACTGTAGTGATCTCTACAATAAAACAGTTTAGTGCAGGACGTCCAAAGATATTAATAGGAGGACGTGCAAAACAGACAAACTAATAAGGCTTTATTTAAACATTAAAGAATACTTTAAGTTAAGGTCTTCTTTTGAATAAGAAAAAAACTTTGGGGGTATCTACAGATAAATATTAAGCCTGACAAAGTACTTAACGTCTACTATATTGCATAGTTTATTTTGGCACTTGACAATCACCTTCCCTGAATTTTACTCAGGTGTAACTAAAGTCTGATTTAAGGGTTGTATATATTTCACATCATCAATCAGAATCTGCAAAGACACTAAAATAAATGTAGTGGAGTAAAAATACCAGGTTAACCTCTGAATTGTAGTGTAGTAGAATTACAAAGTAACAATAAATTGCATGTTGTACATGCTGCTGTAACAAAAACATTTCCCAACTTGGGATCAATAAAGTATATCTTATCTTATCTCATCTTATCTTAAAGTGGACCTATCATGCTATATTTGAATAATATAGTGTAGGACCATACCTATATAAGGCATATTTATACTTTTTTTTTTCAAAATACCAAACAGATCATGCATTTTAGCCATGCCTCATTTTGCTCAATTTGACATTTTTTAGCTCTGTTTTTGCAAGGGCAGATTCTGTGAGAACAGCACCATCTACAGGCCTGGCATATGTACTACAGCATCTCCAGCGCTTTCGAACGGCAATGGCCGTGGCTGTCTCCTCCTGATTGGTGGAGTTGGCCCAATAGCCGTAGCGCCACTGTCCTGACGTCAGGACAGTGTTCAAATCTGGATCAGTTTTTATCAGATCCGTTGCAGCCCCTTTTTTAGAGATTTGGGTATGGAGGAAAATAGAGAGGGTTGTGTTTTCTGACACTTGGTGAGTTCCCTGGAACACCGGGGACACATATTCATGTATAAAAGACGTACAAAAGTGCATTTTGCATGATAGGTCCCCTTTAAGATGATCGATGGCGACTGCCATATTTGCAAAATTTGCCTCTGAACCTTGACAAGTGCATGTTTCAGGCTTATCAATTAACAACAGGAGGGGTCACAGACATACGACCAGCTGTTAAATAAAGCTCTTCTGACCTTAGCTGTCATGCGGGCATATTAATGCTGCCCATTATGGACACAAGCAATTTTCACCCATGTATTATTATATGTTTTAAATTTGATAACACCAATGTGTTTCCCATCCCCTAAACCTCCAGGGATGTACACCGTTTAATAATGGCAACTTTTAATTATGGGAAATACGAAAACGTCTTTTAAAACTATAATTCCCAGTAGAGATGTGCCATAGAACATGTTGCGAATATGGTTGCGAAACACAATTAGCCAGCATGTGTAGTTCTGAGGGGTGGCTGGACCCGTTTGAATCCAGTTTTGGATAGTCTGCCGTGGTTTCATTCCATTTCAAAGAGCTGTTTG